CGGAAGAAAACCTGATAATCTTCTGCATTAAAAGACGACAGCTGAAATGTCCCCAGTGGAAGAAGACCATGCACCTTATTTGGTGTTTAAATTTCGCGATCCGAGAGCAGCATGGTGCTAGGATATTTTTTCTGGGGAATGGAATGTCAAGCTTCTCAGACTTGAACGTGGATCATCATTTTTCGCTCCAGTCAAGTAGATCATATAAATCGGCTTGAGACACTTCAGAAATCGCCCCACACTGAAAGCTGTAAACAGTCTTAAGGTCGTTTCCATAAAGATGTAGCCTTCCATGTGTGACCGCTTCACATGTAATACATAATACAAGTGGGCCAAGTACACTTCCTTGTACCACACCACTTACAGTTGGCCAAAGGCCTGAAAAATAACAACTTAAACTTAACCATCTGAAAACCTTCATGAGAGAATGACTCGAAACAGTCATACAAGGGGCTTGTCACGCCGAATTGCCTAAGCTTCATAAGCAGTCCCTGGTGGAACACCGTCCTTCTTGAAGTCGAGAAACAATGCAGCAAGAAGGCCCTTGATCATTCCGGTCTCACAGAATCCGCTTTTTAGGAACCTATGCTGCGAGGCCGATAATAAGTTGCTGTCGAATAGGCAATCCACAACACCATTCCTCGTTATTTTTCCACCGCTCTGGTAACTACCGGCGTGAGATAAATTGGACACTAATTACCTGAACCTGCAGTTAAACAGGGCTTAAGTGCTGGAAGAACACAGGTGGCTTTCCAGATAGACAGGTAGCATGGGCTGTGAACCAGGAGACAAATGAGATGATTTCAGGAGCAAGAAAGGTACGCCTTCACCCCCGTTTTAGGGATGGCAGCTAGATCATTAATAAAAAAGACGTTTCAGAGAGTTTATCGCCTCGGAAATATTCTGTACTGTAAACCTTACATTTTCTATCCTAGAAAGGGGTACTGTTGACCAACCTATACCACATGTACTACTTTCCACAGTTTGCTCAGGGTCAGCGTGTACTTAGGAATTATTAATGATACATTTTATGATGTTGGATTCAAATTGCTTCAACCTGGACTTCAGAGCCGTTGTGAGGGTGTAATGCACCTTCCTGGCACCAAAATATAACTAGGGCTAAAATAAATAGTTTAAATTAACTAAATAAATCTCTAGCTTGCCTCTGGATGCTTAGGGTGTTTTAAGTTTTGTTTTAACGAGCATGCATCCGAGCAGACCTGAACGCCATTTTGCACTCCATTGTGCTGATTACCACACACGTACTCCGAGTCCCTAGTTCAGCCTTACAAGCCAGATAAGTTGATTAAACTTTTTCCCCATTCATTATTATTACATACATACATTGTGCATCAGTTCTTTTTATTTGTGTTTTGTTATCCGTACTCACACGTTAGGTAAAGCACCGGTTAAGCAGGTAGTAGAGCACATCAAGTTAAGTAAGGTTGATCAAACGTTACGGAATTGTGACACGCACCCCTACAAGGGATTCATTACCACCAGGGGATAGGGCTTGTCGTTTCTGTGCAACGGCTTCTTGTACATGTGGATTACCAGCATAAGCACAGGTGTTAGACATCGTGATCAGTGAAGGCATTCAGGTCGCCTACGAAGTCGGGTAGCATGTTTTCGAAAGCGACTTCGAAGGGGGCTGGAATGAACAACGTTTTCGGAATCATGGACTTCGTGTTTTTTTCTGGGGCAAAACAGCCACAGCTATTACATAAATCATGATAAAGAATAGTTTTCGGGGCTTCAGCTGACGATGTTGGTAAAGTGGCCTTCCCAAGCTAAACATCTTAGGGAAAACTGAAAGTTAGTCCAGTTCACGCCATTTTCCGCACAACACTGGCGTTCTCGAGTTAACAGTAGATTCGAAATTTAAGAAAGGGACCACGGTGGTGTGTTCAATCTCTGCGAACCGATAGTTGGTATGCACCAAAGAGGAAATAAGGTCATCAGGGGACACTAAGTCTAAAACATAATGGAGTCTAGCTGAGCATCGAACACATTGAAATCCACCTCCACAGTCATGACGGTGGACGAAACATTCATATTGCTTGGGAAATTTTGTCGGGAGCTAAGAGATTCCTGGCATATTAAAGTCCCTGCATAAAATCTTACCTAAAAGTGACAGACAGGCTATAAATCTGAGGGCTTCTGATAACAAATTGTCGTAATCACACGCGGAATCAGGTGCACGACACATGCAACAAGAAGGAAGGACACAGCTTTCAAAACAACTCATAGAGAATCTTTTATAATTCCTAGCTCGAGGATGTCGCACTGCGTTGAATCTGTAGATGAATTAATACATACGCACACAGACACCCACGTCGTCACTTGTTGAGTCAAATACGAAAGTTCGACATATGGAAGAAATAATGAAAAGGGATGCAACAGATGGAAATTAAGCAAGAAAAGTTACACCTTTCAGTACTAGCCCGGGAGAAGTGACACAGAATGGTTCATAATTTTAATCTCTCACGGGAACTGGATATCTTCTTGACGTCTCAGTGTGAGACTAAAGATTACTTCATTACTCCATTACAGCCTTTGAACACAATCTACATAGATGCAGATGCCGACCGCCAATGTGTCACACTTATCCAAAACTTGTATGTGGAAACGGAGAGGAAGCATCGCTTTAGTTGCCAGAGAGCAGGAGCATATTCACTGAAAACTTCCAACAAACTAGAATGTATTACTCGACTAATTTGTGGGATCACACAGGCAACGCAATGTAAAATGACAGGGTACTAGATAGTGGGAATACTTAAGTCCATATCTGGAGTTAAACTACTGCTTTAGGCCACTGAAGGGCAGGATCAGTGCAAAAGTCCTCAAACTGCAGGGCCTTGTTGACGCAGAAGTCAGTATGATTTTATCACCACCCTAACACACTTAAGCTTACGGTTACACAACACAATTCTTCACTTCTCTCAGAAACAGAAGCTATGTGAGCTGGGATCTGCAACTTCATGCTGCGGAAGTTGATTTGCAAGCCGTACCTGGAAAAAGTTGAAAGGCAACTTTGCATGGGAAGTTACAATTCTTATCGACGTTGTGAGGCATCCTAAAGGACAGAAAATTTGCTTGCACTTCTCGGATATCGTTGTTACACATAGCCGGTACTATGGTGAGATTTCGGCGTACAGCCCATCTATCCGTCCCTGCCAGGTTGGGACACTTAAGAGGACATAGTAGGAGAATAAAAAAGTAAATAAATGAAAGTAGTCTCCATAGAACACTGCTCCTAGCATCAATTAATTAACCCCTGGAACCGGTTCCCAGAAGAAGTGGTGTCCACATCACCCGTTGACTCATACAAGTTGCAGATCTGACCTTTTAAAATCATCATGAAGCGGAAGTCATAGGAGCTGCCATATCTTGTGGATCTGTGGGGCCAAGTAGGAACTTTGAATCTTTACACGAGCCCCCCGACACTCTAAAATCAAAGGATGATCTACAGAGTGCGGTTTGCAAATATGGCTTGCGAAGTAGTGGCTTATATGTAAGAGATGATTATTTATACAATAAACCATTGGCAAACTTGTTTACCCCCTGTATTGTACGAATTTCAGCTTAAAAGCGTTCGACAGATGCAGATGGCTTTTGTATAGCAGTTCAGTGATGCTTTGGGTAACTCTTCTGTCCACCTGCTCCAAGAAAGTAGTTTCACCTTCAAGTAAGGTGTGAATATCCCTCAGGTTAGGACGCACTTATAGCCCATAAACTGCCATAAATAAAGCCGGAAACAATCCTTGAAAGTTCGGAACGGTAAACTTAGTATTTCTCAGCACCTGATGGCTGTAAAGAAACAGCGGAAGTTCCGGGAGAATGAACAAAGGAAACTTCCAGGTCATTTATGCTCTTGGGACAGAGGTAACTGTTCCATGTAGGTAGCCAGAATAAGTGTAAGACCTGTAGCAGCCAAGTATAAGTATCCTATGCACTCATTTATTGAGTGACCCATACATTTCAGTGCTCTTACAAAACGTTTAAAGTAGTATGTCGTTCAACAGCTCAATTTGAATATCTCAGCTGCTGGAGTCACCAGGTGATACCTGTTAAACCCCTTCTGCTGCTTTCCAAGTCGGTTTTCTCGCAATTCTTGAAACGGTTCGCTGTGAGGTGATCTGGGCGCTGTGCTGAGAAAGACCAGATCGTGGTTGCCACTGATTATGAGCTAGTAGATAATGTGCTGTGATACTTTTATCGTTCAGACAACCAAGAAAATCTAGAAGCCTGATCGTCAAGTCACCAACGATTGCACTTAGAGATGTTTTAATTGAAAGAGTACCTCCGGGAATCAACCCCACGCAAACTTGGCAGACGCAAAGACCAACTGCCTACTAGTCGTACTTGTTATATGGTCACCAGAGGGAGACTAGGGAAGAACACTGTTGAGTGACCAGGTGGGTTAGTATTTTTGACAGCTCATGCCGAGACACAGTTGCGTTCCAACTGTCTGGCTAGAAGATCGAATACGTGGCACGACGATGCTCCAGACAGCATGGATGCTTGATCCTGTGCCTTCAGCTTAGTGAATCTGTTTAAACAACGAGGGTCATCATCAATGCTGAATGATGTTGAACTTTGGGCTATTGATTTTGCGGAATTATTTGCAGCAGCATCCCTGCGGCAGTTCACGGAATTTCCTGACAACTGTAGTGGAATCGGCATTAAGTAATAACTGAGCCAGGTTGAAATAACCCGTTTTGAGGTTAAAATCCGCAACTTCTGTGACGGAGTGAATTTGTTTCATCTTAGCATTACGAAGGAGAGGACTGAATATATACTACTCACAGAACTCAGCCACTCACTTTCATCCGCCTTATCTGCGCAAGTAAGGTCGAGTTGCCAAGATGAACGAACTGTCAGTTTACTGCTTCTGGAGCAGTACGATTGGTCATCTACTATTGAACAACAAATAGACACTGGTGTTAAATTCGTTTGCTGTGCGTTACACTGTATGGAAAACAGAGATATCTCTTTTGATGGGGGATTTAGTTAAATTCGTTAGACAGCAGTTCTTTGACAACAATTGGACTAAGTCCGTTGATCCAGATTCGCTTAGTGAGGAAAAATTGGAAGCCATCGATACCTCTTTTAGTCATATGGATGTCAAGTCTAAACTATGTCTACTTTTAGCATTCAGCAACATGAAACCAAGCCCAGTAGAAAAGGTATGTAGTAAGTTATTCAGTCTAAAACTTTTGTTTCCGTTTGATTTTTGGGTTGGGACAACGCTAAACTTAGGTATTTCTGTGAGCTATCCTCATTTAAATGAGGATATAGAAATCAAATAAATGTTAACGGCCACTTGAAATATTTGTGGAATTTAGGGGGAATGCTCAAAAGTTGGTAAGTGCGCCCAAAGTAAATGCTGGCTGGGTTTCTTTCGATTTAGTCTGTGCTTAGTTCTTATGCTTATTTCTTGACTTCACTAAAAAATGTGCATTTTTGTGGTTAATATTTTCACTCGTTCACAGTGTTTTCACAGTTGTAAGCCTGAAATATTTAAACACAACGTCTAAAGATATACATCAATCCTAGATTTGATCTAGTCCGTTTGGTCGCTGGTAATTCGCTTACCTTCAGCGGTTTTACTAAACCACAAATATTTGACTTTCCACTCTTTGTATTTCATACTCTTGTGTTCCCGAAAGGTCTACTAGTTGCACGAAAGTGGTCGGAATATGAAATCACCTAAACTTTACCGCCATATATCTGAACCCTCATGAAAAGAATAGCCGAAAGCCTAAATTTCAGTGGTATCTTACTGTTTCCGATAATAAAGATTTCAGTAAGTACTTTTAACTATGGAAACTGTGATGCAGGTAACATAATGCCAAAGAATTTCTCATTATGGTAAAGATGCATTGATCTTTTGGGACCAGAAACTTGTTTAATTCATGATCATATATTTGGGACTTAGCTAAAAACAGTGATAGTTGATAGCGCATGAATTCTGACTCTGCCACTACATTTTCACACTCGAAGGGTGAATTTTGGAGTTTCACCAAATTGACCGGATATGGTTAGGTGAATAATTACACAGGTCCTGCATGCGTGCCTCACAAGCACAGCACAGCACAGCACAAGTCCATGGCCCAAGCGACTAGAGTTTTGGTTAGCTAAGCTTGTTTGCCGATTTAGCGGAGGTTTTGGATATTGGGGGTCCTCCAAAACAGACGCAGAGACAACAGGAACATGCTCGCACCACTATTGTAGGCGGTTTGGAAGGAAGGGAAGGTACCTACCAATTAGAAGAAGGGCTACCTTGTCAAACTCCCAAAAGAAGGGTGACCTAAGTCTTTGCAATAACTGGGGCGGAATCATGCTCCTGTCCATCCCAAGCAAGCAAACTATTAAGCCGCATCATGCTGGAGAGATTAAAAGGTGCTCTGGATTCAAGATTACGACCGGAACAGGCTGGCTGACTGGCTGCCTGCCTGCCTTCAGGAAGAACAAATCATGTGCGGATCAAATTGCAACGCTACTCTACGCGTCATCGTAGAACAGAACATAGAATGGTAGTCAACTCTCTACCTCAACCTCATCGATCTCGAAAAGCCCTTCGATAGTGTCGACCGACGAGTAATTTGGAAACTGCTTCAACACTACGGTTTTAGTGCCACAAACCTTTATTAACCTCATTAAACAACTGTATGACAACGCCACATCCCAAGTGATTCACAATGGAAAGCTGAGTGATGCCTTTGAAGTACAGACAGAAATAAGACAAGGCTGCCGCCTACTATCACCGATGATCTAACTAATTGTGGTGGACTGGATCATACAGCGAACCGTGAGGAGCGAGATGGGAATAGAATACTACGCTCGACCGATGAAAAGAGCCTAGAAGATTTGGATTTCGCAGGTGATTTATGTCTAATGTCTTGTGGCAGGCGAAAACTAACAAGTTGACAGAAGAGGTGGCGAAGACGGGACTTCAAGTGAACGTAGAGGAGACGGAGGTGATGAAGATACCCAACCAACATCACCACCACCACCAACAAGCACCAATCACCATCAATGGGAGAAACTTAGAGGAAGTAGCCTCTTTCACCTATCTAGACAGCACTGTTTCAACTACAGGCGGTGCAGGCCTAGACGAGGATGTCAAAGCCATCCAGGATCGAAAAAGCAAGACAGACGTTTATTAACCTGAAACCAGTGTGAAGATCTACTGCACTACACTCAGCATAAAGCGTGAACAGTATCCAGATTTTCAACACCAATGTCAGTCAAGTCAGTGCTTCTATGTGATGGTTGAGAGACTTGGCGCGTTACGAAAAGCATTTCCAACAAACTATAGACATTCATCAACAGCTACCTACTCTCACTCCATACTGAAGATCAGATAGATGGCCAGAAAAAATAATCAACAAGGAACTCTGGCTGGCTGGCAACAAAGCAAGAACCCATCGCCCAGCAAATATGCAAAAGAAAGTGGAGGTGGATTAGTTTTACACTGAGATCATTTAGGGACATCACATGCCAAGCCCTCGAGTGGAACCGAAATAGGAAACGACGAGTTGGGCTTCCGAGTTGAGGGTGACATGTAGGAGATCATGTGAGGAAGAACTGAAAGCTTGTGGGCAGTCGTGGAGCTAGGTTGAAAAAACTGCAGGGAACGGATTGAAATGGTGACGTGCTACTGAAACCCTATGTTCCACTGGAAACCCAGTGTTCCACTAGAAACCCTAGGGACAAATAATGTGATATAATTTGTGGTTTGGAACGCGGTTTTAAGAGACCAATGATGCTGTTCTATGAACTCAAGCTCTCATAACAGCGTAGTGATTTGCACTAAAACCGTAACTACTATTTGTCTTACTACTATCCAACTGACGTTTGGTGGTACAATAAGACGTCGAGGAAACGCATTCTTGCCGTATAGCTCGTCGGGTCATTGTGGTATGCAAACCCAACTGCCACGTCAAAGTTGAAGCTATCGACCAAGTCTCGGCTACTGAGGCTGGCCAGACTAAGCGGTACATGTTTGGGGTAGTTCAGTCAGGTATGAAACTGACGTACAGCTGTGGAATTAAATTTCTCTCGTCTCAAAACGGTACAGACTAGAGTTTCAACTAGTGACGAGTATTGAAGTAAAATAAAGATAGACGTTGAAATCAAAATATCGAAACGACACCATATTTCATATAGCAGTGGAAATATGAAGAAAACAGCAAAGCATAAAAGCTGTCACTAATTAAGTCTTTATTTGAAGATGGCTTTGATAGTTATTCGTGTGAGCTTTTGAAGTTTTAATTGCAGTTGTATCATACCATACAGTGTTTGAAGGTTAAGATGCTGTCCGGACACCTAATTCATATGTAATGGTTGTTCTACGGGGACCACTTTCCGAAACTGACTCGAAGTATGATCCGAAATCCAGAAGAGCTACGTCCCATAGTAGCTGCTGACCAAAGTAGTTTGATGCACCATTCGTCCATTCTCAATACTGAAGTGTCTGCCACTATTCATTGGGAATCAGGCTTTTTCGAATTTCGCAGATAGACCCTTGTTATCCATCAAAACAGTAATGCGGTCTAAATACTTGCATTCACTCCCTCGCTTTTGTGGCAACATCTGCACTGTTTGAAGGCACATTAGGACTTGCGTGGTAGAGTCCATAAATGCACAACTGTGTGAGAGTATTTCCAGAGAACGAGAGGGTTCATGCCACGCTCAGTCATACCAGAATGTTTTGCTGGTCTTGTCTGTACGTGTTACGTTGGCTTTCAGTCCAAACGTCCTGGTTCCGAATCCAGCTGTAGCTACTCTGGCTGGAGTTGTTGGTTAATATCACAATCTCATACAGTGGGTGCGGCTCATAGCTTAGCACATAAATAACGGTATCGGTACATGTTACATTACATTACAGTATGTTTTTTCCGGAAATAATTTCCGTGCAATGTGTTCATCACTCTTGAATGATCCCACTTTCCGTTAAGCGTGAACTGTTCGTATCCTTTACTTTTTTATAACAGTTAGTTTAAGTGTCCAATTCAAATGTTTCATGACACTCAAGTGCAAAACTTATTTTAAGTATGATTAGTACTATTACTGACCTAAGTATGCTTGGCTCTATTTGTTACTGGGGCTTAGAATCAATCATGTGGCTGGATAAGCATCTTGTATCCAGGATTTATTCACGAGCGGACATCATGTTACTGGTCACTCGGAGTGATATCCAAACTCATTTTCCTTGTATTATATCATCAGTTCTCCAGTCTTCAATCTAAGGCTGAAAAATTCGTTTTCGCAACGTCGGAATAAGAAAGCTGTCCTTACTCTGCCAATAATGTTTTGCATTACCATGGTCATTTGCGATTTAAATAAAACTATTGAAGTAGTTCTCAAAAGATTCTGACCCGTCATTATAATTTGACACAGCATTTAATTTGCTTAGCGTCCTTACATCCACACCATAAACCCGAAAATTGTTTCCAGTTTGGGATTTTGGTTCTCTTTACTCATCATAGTAGGTAACAAGTCTAGAATGCATCTTATGGTAAACTGCAGCTTTGTCCTATATGTCGCTTATTGTTGCGGTTATAACTTTATGAGAATATGTGAAGTGTCATTTTAAATGCACCTCAGTTTTACGAGCTTACATAGTCTTTGCATAATTGACATAGTCCTTACTGCAGTTATTGTTATTCTGAAAACCTATCTTGCCTTGTGTAATTCATCTCTCGGCCTTAAGGGATTGGTAAGTTTCTGACTCGGCTTTTATGTACTTGCCATGTATGAAAAGCGTATACTGTACTCACTTGCTTAGAGCTACCTTGTCTATTAGATGGTTGGGCAAACCAACTACTTACCAGCCTAGTTCATTAAGCCAAAGGACACAACCTAGAATTCGTAATTGAATTTTTGTTATCTTTCTCATTATAAACGTTTAATATTACTTTATTTCTTGTTATTCTATCCTGTACAGATAAACAAACATATAGAAAGTATATTTCTTCAAGCCTTGGATGAAGAAAACAATCTTGTTAAAGCTGTCGCTACAATTTTACACAGTAAACAAACCCTCAACTATCTTAATTTCGATATTTCTCCTACGAATGAAGCGTTTGGAAAAAGTATTGATAAACTACTGAGAAATGCTAATAGCTGGAATGTGGTAGAAACCCTCTATTAGCAGAATTTTTGGGTCGTAACGTTCTCGATCAATTTTTGAATGTAAATAAAAGTGATGCATCTGACATAGATATCTCCAAGTGCGGTTTTCGGCGGCGTGGGAAACTAGAATCAGAACATTTGAAGGAGTCGTATCTTGAAAAACTAAAGGATGAATGCCAGAGAAGACGAGTTCACGTACCTATACCTGGTAGAAGTTTTACCCGTCAAGATGAGACAGAGGATTCTGTTGCTCTTGAAGTAGCCAATAACGCAGGCAAATCCACTTCTGTACCGCAACCTGATCCCATTTCACCATCTAGGCGCAAAAGCACATTCCCACGTTTATCTGGTCGTAGTTCTGGTAGATTAAATTTGAAGGGATCTCCGGTTTGGGCGCGTTCTAACATGAATAAAGGTGGGAATAATGGTGAAAATAGGCCTGTTCCTATGGGTGACAGAATAAGCAACCGGAGTCTTGCAGTGCCAGGCGTCAGGAAGCCTTCAGGAATAAAACTACTAGAATTCGATGAATTACCCGCTTTTGGCCCAAAAGCTAAACAACTTCGTAAAGGTAACTAATGACAGTTAATGTTTCACTCTCTGTTTGTGGGTACAGAAATACCATGATGTAGCATCTTTTTAGATAGTCTGTTCTGATTTGCTAACAAATGGTTTAGCTCATACTTTATATTTTAGTATTTTTTACTGTTGAATTTTTACGCTTTAAAGGCTGTCCTACAAACTTGAATTATATGTTGGAGATATAATTAGTGGTACAGAATTCGACAAGCTAGCCATATTTTATTATTGATTATTTCATTGTCTAGAAAATGCGTAGGTAGTCCTTAAATTTCCTGCAAAGCTATTCAGTATAGTTAAAAATTGGAAAAAGTCATTAAAACATTGCATTTAAAATATAAGCTCCACTGAAACTATTTCTCTATACATTGAAAAACAGGATTACTACCATCCATTTACGATTAAGTAAACCCGACATTTTCAGTATTTGTAGAAGCTATATGGGAACACGTTCATTTTTGACGTCAGTTTGATTCTGTAATATTAAAGAACATGGAACCCTCATGGCTTCTACGGAATTATTAAACTGTCATAATTTTGTTCGCTTGGATGGTTACTTAAGTCCTGGTAAAGAATGTAGCGTGACTAGACCAGTCGTTTTTTCCTTTAGCTTAACGCTCAGGAGCGTCGTTTCACAAGCCTTTTCCAGTTTTCTGGTTCAACCCAATGTCACCGACCATAGGAACGACTTCTGTTTGGGCGCATATGCGCGAAAACGATGTTCACAACAGGCATGCCTTCCTACTGATAGAGAACCCCCCAAGTTTTCGGGTATCTACCCTTACCACCTAGATAGTACGGCAGTGACTGCCCCATCTGGGTTATCCTTGCTATGGCTGGCCGAATCTCACTCATCGCTTTACTAATAGCGACCCCGGTCCCACAGTTGTTATAATACGCGGATACAATACGCACGCTTAACTGACAGCTAATTTCATACACAAAACCTACTGACTCCGACCCTGGGACGAATAAAGAAAACAGCGAAATGGGAGAGCTTATTCCTCCGAGAATAATAACCAATTAACCCAAGCACACGTGTGTATGTATACACATGAGATATGACCTTGTCCAGAAATTGAGATATTAACATAGTAAAAGTAAGCATTAACCAATCAACCTTGGAAATACGGGCAAAAAATGAACTACTGGTCATGCCGTAACAAATGGCGCAAAAACGACAATTAAAAAATGTTTAGACTAATAAACAATGTCTTATACAAAACTGGAACCTTACAACAACACCTAAGCATTTTTAGCCTTTACTACCCGCATGATTAGGAGAAAATTGGCTAGGTACAGAAATCTATTGGCGACTGTTTCCGAAGACCCTTTCCGTAGCCAGGTGGGGCGATACAAGGTTCACTATTTCTGTGTGCTCAATAATCGCCGCTGGTGAGATCATCTTAGTATCTCTCACAACTCGCTCGAGAAATACAGAAGGCATATAGCCTACGACCTTCGTCATACCGTGCATACGTCGCAAGATGTACACTATCCCGTCGCCCACTTTATGAGAAACTCCATGAGCATGCAGACAGGTTGAGTATCCCGGTGTCATTTATAGACATCTGATAGGCGGTTGGTTGACCCTCTGTCATAGACTGGTTGACAGTAGGAACCATGCGAAAGTGGACCGTCATGTAACTATGTCCCCCCGTCATGCAGCTTTCAATTTAAATGAGTTGACTCAGTAATGTAGATACGTCTTTCTGATGAATGCCAGCAAACATTTGACCAAAGTCCCAGGTTTTCTGCCTAATGGTCTTTGATATGTAACGCCGAAACCCAAAGCTCAGCAATGTTGTGCCACTTAACTTGGTGTCGTGTTGTGGGTCAGTGGTTTAGGGAGATGACTATCAGCCATTGAGTCACGGGTTAGAACCGCAATTCAACTACCTGGGTTTGATCAGTCAAGTAGTATCACTAGTCTTCACACAATAGGTGCGGCCCGTTGCCTGCTTAAAGAACGTACACGTCAATTTACAAGATTCTCTGTAACTCAGACAATCTATAGAGACTAGGTGACAGAAACAAATGTGTCCGAATTGAACAAATCAAGTAATCAAACTGGGATCGAGAGAGCTGTAACCCAAATGTCCTGTAATATTTGACAGTGGAGTAAGGCTGTGGGTACGCCTCTATATGATGGTGTCTCGACAAAGGTAAGAGGGTGAAACAGATTGTCCTAGATAGGGTACCAGTCAGACGATTTGTAAAGCAGGTGAACACACTTTGTAGATGCATTGAACATTAAGTTGTGCACCTGGAAATCAGCTTATTGTTTTGGTAACTTTAACTTCGATGTTTTATGCTTCGTAGTCGGTTAACACCGAGCCAGTCAACGTAGAGGAGGTTGACGTGGAACTCCTAATACTTAAGCTTCATAAGGCACAGCCTGAGCAACTTACCACCGGCTCTTCTCAAGGATAAATGTGAGAGTGTAGTCGTGGAAACGACCAGGTTGTTTGAAATGGTATGGTAAACTAAATTTCCTATAACTGACGTCATCACTGTTCCTATTTTTGGAAAGGACCTGCATAACACTTGCGACAATCGTCAGACTATCGGTTTGTTACCAACACCATCTTTGGTTCGGGCAGATCTACTGTACACCTGTGGAATTTGGCCTCTTCAAGCTGAGAACATCCGATGACAGTGCTTGTCGGATAATCATCTTTGTTGGATTGCCTGCATCCAGTAGAAACACTATATAAGCTATTTGAGGTGAGTCGGTACGTGTTTGGGCGTAATAGACATCATCATTCACTGAGTCATCTTGAAATGCGGACTTCGATGTCATGAACGTGTCTTACGAATGCCGTCTCATTCGGATTGGCACAGTTTACCAACTCTATGATAACGAAGTAACGTGACTTTCGTCTTGTGTTGCTTGAACTGTGTTCACAGTTGTACACATTAAAAGTTGTCTAAGGTGTGTAACTGATGGTCGAAATTTCTGGTTGCGAGGTAGTATGCTTATTTTCCATGCTAATTATCAGGTGCAGATTTTTGTTTCGCTTGTTTGACTTTGACATTTCAGGTTGCAAGTGAAGCAGTGATTCTGTGTATCTGTAATTCTATAGCTAGAAATTTTGTTAACTATCGTTTTTTCGGTTTGTATTGATTAAACTGACGTATACATAACTTTTCGATATAATAGTGTTGACTATTAAGGTAATCCTTATCGACTTCGGCGGATTAAAATATACAAGGACCCTAATGGTTCTGCACGCTTGTTAACTATATTCTTTAAATGTACCGAAAGTCCTATTTCATTCTCTGAATCGTTACTGCTTATATGTAAATTTTAACGTCCAAAATTACTTTGTGATGTGTGGGTTTTCTCAAAACCTTATTTGTAAAGTAGCGCTATGGTATTGTTTACTTTCAAGATAGTTTCTCTATTTTCGCATAACAGTTTCATACTACCTTAAATAAGACTTGTTACAATTTCATCCCAGATCAAGTCTGTTTCCATCCTTCAACCAGTTAACTATGAATACTGTGTAGCAAATTGATTAGGAAAAGATGAAATTCTTACAGACTCAAATTATATGACTTTTACTAAGCTGAAAATTCACGTCAAATTACTCTTACTGCACTTATGACTCGAATATCCTGATTTATTCTATCTTGTTTTGGCGGATTGGTCTGCATTCTTACTCCTATTGTTAAGAACCTGTTGCATGCTTACTATTTCTCTTGTTATTCAGTGATTAGTCCGTAGGTGTGTTATCTTAATCTCATAGGCTTCAATTCATTTCACCATAGTTTTATATTCTCACTCTCAGTTGAAATTTGGAAATAGTCACTTTTTGTTATAGTCCTTAAGAGAAAACATCAATTAGGCCAGTTCATTTCAGTGGTAATGTAACCCACCGCCAATGTTGTATTATCATCCATAAAGTTTCCTACTCAGTATGTCTTCAATTTTCATAGATTAATAGAAGAGTAATATTTAAAGCTGTAGTCTCTCCCGTGAAAGTCGACTATTCAGCTTAACCATCCAAGTAGTATGTGACAAATTTTTGATTTTTAAAACGTAAGCTTCACTTTACAGAATAGAGCTGTGACACATTGGTCTAGGCGACTGACTTTCAACCATTAAGTTACTATACCAGTGCTGTTAGGTAGTATCACTGGTTCTCATGCTAGGTGTGACTCATTGTCACGTGGGTGAACTTGCACATGATTATACTTGCGTAATTTTACTCAAAGCCTTCATATTATTTATCGACCAGGTATTGAAATTCAGAAACTGTCTAGTGCATTTTTGTTATTTTGATTATGGTTATAGAAAAAGAACGTGAAGAAAAACTAAGACTGAAGCAAGAAAAGGAAGAACGGGCTCGTGAAAACAAGGCTGCTCGAGAAGCCTCCAAATTAGCTCGTCAGTCTGAACGGCAAGCTTTACTTGAAGCCCGCAGACAAAATGCATCCATCACACCTTTGTGGTCAAATAATTATGATGAATATTCGGGAGATATTAAAACTGGTATGCAAGGTATGTCAATGAATCACACATCTGAATTCATAAAATTGGATCCAACAGCTTACGAAACTAAACCATCTTTTGCTATGTTATCGAGAAATTCCATTCAACATTTACAGCATAGAACAGAAATCAGTAATCGTGGCCAGTTTCCAGTTCGGTTCACGAATCCCGCATCCATGAATATTCAAAATCCTGTTATTTCTACAAAAATGGATGTTGATATAAAACCTGTGATTCACCATCCACTTTTGTCAGCATCTGTTACTACCGGTTCTGATAGTAACGCAGTGTATGCAGAAGATGAAGAGGATGATGATGATGACTCTGATGATGATATGATGCAAAATAGTAAATCTGGAGTATACACACTGGGATTTCCTAAGAGTTTGTAAGTTTTTATCCAATGTTTTTTTAGTGTCTTTTGAGTTTTTTTGAATTTGAATAGCGTAAAAACTAGTATTTCAAATTTAAGCTCACCAGAAAGGTGGTGTAGAATTTTAGAAAAATAAACTTTCACTCTATTGCAGGAATTTTCGTTGTTGGATCGCTCCTGAGAATTTTCACCTAATGGCTTGTGATGAAAGCGATCCATTTACAGGAAAGATGACTTTCAGTAAACACTTACCAAACAATCGATGACTTACTAACAATGCTGTAAATGAACGTGCTTTAAAACCAATGTTTTCAGTTTAAACAGTATGCAAACTATGTTTGTTGATAGTTTTCAACATTGATTTTTGAGAGAGCACAACTGCTACCATAGAGTATCAATTCAACCGACCAAAATTCATTTGCTATGACAATCACAGGTTTACTAACATGAAACCACAATATACCTGGTTCAGTTGGTGTAGCGGAGTGGTTTTAGTAACCCTGACAGTTAGTGCGACTAACATCCTAGAACGTAGATATCTATACGTAATCACTCTATAGCGTATTTGTTGATTTCTCTATTGCACTGAATCTATGTTGAGTGAATACAATAAATATGAAGCAGTTAAATTATAAATTCGTAGCCGTGGGGAACCTTTGGTTCTATGCTTGCAGGTTTGAACAAACGATTCAGTCTATTATTCAGAATCGATTTAAAATAAGTGTGAGAAAACTAGTAACAGTAAGTGATGCTGTTTGTTCCCATTGTTGAATTTCTACCCACTAACGCTGAACAGTTTGAATATTAGGGTAAGAAGTCATTTTCGCTTTTGGATTTCATTTGTAGATCTGCGTTACTAACGGTTTGAAGTATTTTTATTTACTCTATGAAACATGCCAGGAGTCATCAATATACCATTTCATTGACAACTACCTAAAATTAGTTTCTTATCCATCACTAACGTAGTATTTTTATCGCCCTCCCGGTTTGTGTTTTATTATGTGAATCGATCGGCATCAATATGAACATCGTCATCGGTGTAGCTTCACATAAAATCTAGTTTTTTTCTTTAGCGATTAACTCACTAGTATCCTGGCCAACGAAACTAAGTAAGGTGAACAGCAATGACCACAAGATGAGGTAGGTGTGTTACAAGCCTTATTTGACTGTGTATCTACACCTTATTCCTTGAATGAATACATCTGAAAAATCACATGGTTTTTTCGGTCCATGCAGGGTTTCAAGATTTCTGGAGGCCTAAATAAAGCTAATGTTGGAATTTTTCATTCATTATTTCTTCACGATTTTCATTCGGCTGTTTTAAAATCTAAATTTTTTGGGAAAATTTTTGCTCATTAGTGCGTCAAATTCACTATCCTAGCGTTAGTGAGATATCCATTCACCTGTTAATTGATGACTCTGCTGCACTGCAGTCCTATCTGTTCTATTATCCAGCTATGAGACATGACCTTTTAAAGCAGAATGCAGAAGGAATTTCCAGGTTTTTGACCAAAGATGTCTTCCTAACATTATTCACGTGTAATGAAATTAATGCAAGGGTGGTGTTAGGGTTATGAATAGGGGTCTAGGCAAGGAAGGTAAGTCAGTCGATGAGGCTGTGAACCTTCACTGACTAAGGTGACTTGGATGTATGTTGCGTCTGTCGAGCCACTACCTATCTCAACCAACTGTGACCGAAGTGGGATTAAGTCGGAAGAAGGTTAAGGAAAGTCAAGTCAAACCGTAGAACCAGTCCATGGAGTACTGGTCTGAAGCGTATAGTGAGATTTCAACTATCTGGTTAGTGTTAGGAACCAGTGGTTAGAGAACTGCTGATGTCGCTCCAAGTCAGTTACGGTGGCACACCCTTTGTCATTTTTGAAGTCTTGGATATTCTCCTTAATCTTCATCTATTTATTCTGTCCTCATATGCCCTTGTATATACCCTTGTTGGTAACCGTGCCTGTTTTCTAGAACTTGGCGCAGTGTGAGTATTTGGTCTATACACTCACAGACGGGTCTGAGGCCTACCTAGTTTTCTCGGGCTTGTTGTTCCAGAGCTACACTCAGGGGTCTAATGAATATGGAACCTAGAATCTTAGACACTGTGTTCGTCAGACTGACTCCTCTGTGGTTATCACAAAAAGACTTCTCGCCTTTCTTCAAGACTGGGATAATCAGTGGTTAAGACCAGTCAAAGGGGATCGTATTTGACTCCCATACACTAGTTAATACTTCAGTTAACTTGACTAGAAAAACTCTACCACCGTCCTTATATATCACAGGAACTAGTCCGCCTGCACTAGCTGCCCTTCCTCATTTCAAGTTACCTACAGCTTTCTCGACTTCTCAATGTCCCATTCTGGATCCGACTAGATAGAGGGCAACTCAGTAGTAGCTAGAGGCCAGTTGAACCGGTCCTAAAGGTGTTCTGCCCGTCCTTGCAACCATCTCCTCTGTGAGTGAACCTCAGACCCATCTTTCTCCGCTATAGTTCCACTAACCGCTGACCTTTTCACCCCAGTTTCCTTAATAAGTCTAAGTAATTGTCTGCTGTTACCTATCACCGCTGCCTTTTCCATCTCAGCCTTTGGTGCGCACCACTGTTTGTCGTCATATCATAGACTTTTTGTCAGTCTGCAAGACCGCGATAGCTGATCATCGAATATGCGAGAACTCGACGGGTGGATTTAGCAGGTTAGCCATATTGACCGGGGAAGTTAAGTGAATAACCGCACCTGAATCCAGCATGCACGACTCACAAGCAGCACATATCCATGGCCCGAGTTGCAAGAGTTTTGGCCAGTGAAGCTTTGTTGACCAATTTCATGGAGGGTGAGGACATTGAAGGCTCCAATGCGTAATTTGGAGAGTGGTTTAAGGAGACCAAGGATGCTGTTTTGTGGACTCAGGTCGTTGTCGAGAGCTGTAGAGCTAGAGGTAATTAAAGATGATGTAGTGTCACTAACTGAGAGACGTTGAGGGAGATTAGAAGGGAGGGAGGTGGATAGTGGTTTGAGGAAACTTGAGTGCTGACAGAGTTGTGAAGACGGTTGAAACTTCCTGGTTGTCCACACCTTGAAAGGCCAGGTCTTCTTGAGGTACCTGAAAAAGGAAGGTTAGTGCGTGACCTCCGAAAAACAAGTGACATCTGCTTGAGGTCAGTCACGTACGGCCTTTTGGGAAGATGTTGTCGGATATATACTCCCTTTGGTTTTGGATCATCACTAACCACTGATATCAGATCTAGGCCACCATAATGCTTCATCTCTTTTTTCATGGACGTATTAAGGGTAATTGCCTTTTATCTGACCACCGTCCAACAAACCTTACTGGTATGATATGACCTTAAGGGGACATGCGTTCCAGCCAGTATAGCTCGCTGGGTCATACAAGCCGGACCACCATGTCAAGGTAGCAGCTATTGGTCTAAACAGTAATCATCCAAAAGTCGGTTGGTAATAACTGTTTAGTGTCAAGGTTAAACGAGTTAATTTAGGAACGATTCGTTCGAAACAGACCCGTACTGCGTTGACGAAACTGCTGTAAAGATAAATCTGTCCATATGCTTCTGAAGAGCGAAGAAGAACTAGTTGTACATATAATAGAGGAAATGAAGCAGAAGTTTCACACTTGATTTGTTTATTTGATATGGAAAAGAAATTAAAATATTCCAGCAACCATATGGATGCCTTTGTGGTAGGCAATGAGCCACACCTAATTTCTGAAGGTTAATGACACTTCCACCTTGGTGGGTGCAGCGGGGTTCGAATCCACGAGCCGTCAGTTGGGTGTCTGGACCAATGAGCTATAACTTCACTTTATTTGATAAAGCACTCAGTGATACAGTATTATTTGTGGTGAATAACACTATTACTTTTTGTTGTACCAAATACAATAATCGAAAATGGAATTACATTCAACCATAGTGCATAAGTCTTACCGTTTTGTTAATAAAGCTCGGGTGTAAGTGGCGCACATGAGGATCGGAGAAGTGTTAACAAACTGATTGTAATTGAACGGGTGACAGAAACTCCCTGATTAGTGAGGTTGGTAGTGCTTGTAGTTTTGCGTGAGGATGACAAACAGGTAAAACATACTCAACAAACTATCTCATATGTTATTATACCATTTCTTTTCTTATATAGATTTGTTTCATTTAGGCTCACAGTTCATTCACAGCAGCTTTTTAGCTGACTGATCTTAAGTAAAGTATAGAATTCCAGGGTCTGCTGCAGGACAAGATTCCGTGAGTGAAGGTTTTTATAGAGGAAAGAGGAGTTGGAGTGGCGTTTAGTGACTCAGCGGGTTCACTCCTTTGCTAGTTTGTATGATTCCACATTTCACTGTTGGGATGTCAGTTGATGATTAATTTGCATTCGCAATACCCGGTTGGACGGATTACTCACATAAGAGGGGAAGACTGTGTTTGTAAATGTCACTTGCAGTAATATGGGAGCTGAATGTTTTGATATGTTCAAGTTATTACTAGACTATATTACGACAGTGTTTGTATCGACTAAGAAGTCTCATGCTGCATTTACTTTCAGTATATGAATATGTAATAAGTATTCCTTTCCGACCATATGTTTATCAAAGTAATGCACCATACTGTGGGTTAGATTTTCACCACGCTGCATTATGCAGCGCAGCAATTTCTGATACATTCCTGTTAATATATATATACTCCACCAGGCATAAGTCGTAATAGAAGTACTTTCAACAGGTTGTTACGAAGTTCGTGTTCGGTGTATTATGCGTCTCTACCTGTGACTGAGTCGTACTAGAAAAGCGAGGGTTAAATCAAAATGGCGACATTCAACTGTGAAATCAGATGTGAATATCTAAGAATAATGGCTGGGAACGAAACAGCTCTGAATGTGTAGTGTAGCTGTAAGTATAACTACACAAAGACACGGTTTATCAGATCGGTTTAAAACTGCACTTGAATTGCCCAGACTGTTGAACAGCATTAGAGTATGTGTTGTGACTATTGATGCTCTACGATTATAAGTTTCATAATATAGGAAAAGAAGTGGGGTGTTGTAATGCCTCTGATTATGGTGAGTAGATCGTATTGGCTTATCGTTATTATGATATGACAGGTAAAAATGTTTTACAGACAGTTTTTTGGGTGATTAGCTTAGAGTCATAAGTAGACATGTATTACCCCTGTCATATTTTGTTGAAGCATTAATACCCATCGTTTGTCATGGATGTATATTAGGTAAATGGATTTTAAGGAGTATTGGAACCAGTTGATATATATATATATATATATATATATATATATATATATATATATATATATATATATATATATATATATATATATATATATATATATATATATATATATATATATACTCTTGCACTGATCACCAGTCAAACCGAGAAAGTGCATGGATAAGTAGGCTGAACAGAACAGGATGAAAACTGTTTCCATTCATACTACCAATAACCTGGTTACTTAAGAGGGATAAATACTACTCGAATAAAATGAGTAAAATATAAGTTTTCAATGATTATTTTCTATTTTATCCACAAATCGGTTTGCTTTCTTTCTAGAAGTTTTAACTCATCGTTTGGTACTAATTTATGTGGTATACAATCTACTGGCTTTCCATCTATTGGATCATCTCAGTGCTCTGTTCCTATGACTTCACAGGTTGAGGTTTACACATTAAGCTCTCCATCGAAATCAGTCGATAAAGTACCAGTTTCCAGTTTAGGACAAGCCCGTCATGTCAAATGCCTTCCCTTCAGTAATACTTCACTTTCCTTCACATCTCCCAGCACTGTATCTCTGACGCAAACACCTAGTACACCTGTCAATCACATTCGATTAATCAGACCCAATGTTCCACAGCCAACTACAGGTGGAGTCATTAAAGTTGTGAACACTCCTTCATCTGACTCATCTGTTCGAATTATTTGTCTAGTGGATCAAAATACTTCCAAAACTACCCCAAATGTTATAACCCAATCCGGAAAATCTAATATTTTCATGTCACAAGATATGTTGAATGCAAATGTCAGTCATGGATTGACTGAAAATATTGTACTGTCTCCGGAATCAATGTATCCAACATCGTCATCCGGTGCACAAATGTTACCTCAGAAAATTGCAGCTGCCCCTTCTGAATCAGTGAGTATATATATAAATTCGTTTTCTCCAATTTTGTGGTTTAAACAGTAGCTTAAAGCGAAATATTAGTTGATGTTACATTGTAGACTTGCTTCATTTGCTTATAACCTAAAATATTTTAAGTGTCAAACATGAAAATTGTTTGCCTACCTTAATTGAGTTGACAGTGAAGTATCTATTGAAAAGATAACTATGTTAGCGCCAAACATTGAAATCTGGCAGGATTGCCGAAAAGTCGTTGAAAGGACCACCATTAGATTGCTTATCTACGGGGTGAAATAACAGAATAATCTAATTCAACAACCTATTATAAGCTTATGCACTAGGCTGAGTCACATGGCTTACTCTATTTCGCCGTTGCCTAGGTCACATCATATTTTCCTTATTTGCAAAATAAATAAATGAGCATTATTCAAGCTCGACAGGAAGTTATAACATGTATTAAGATAGGTTTCTTGCGTATAAAAAACCAGGCTAACGAATTACGAAATCTATTAGGGTGATTTGTGAACGATCTTATTTATTGATAGTTTGCATCACAGTTTAGTGCCGACTGATTAATGTTTGAAAACCAGTGAGCAGCAGACAAGTATTTCACCATATTTTGTGACTCACCAGTGTACCCCGACTTCATAAAGGATTAAACGTAGGATTTTCAGGTCTCAAAGGGAACACGTTGCCATTTAGTAGTTATTAAATTGCAACCCAATGGTTTATATTTCCCTTCCAAAATCCGACATAAATTCTTAGCATCCGTCGTCATTCATGTAACCTGGTTAACATAACAAACAGACTGCACATCTCATTTCGGGTTGTGAAAGTAAAACTAGAATCCTGGTGGTTTTTCAATAAACAAGTTTTTGCACTATTAAAGTGGTCTACGCGATGGATAGACAGCGAAATGTTTAAAAATTATTCTCACTATATAATTATCCTGACTGAAACACTGAACTTACTCTTTAGTATTATTTACATAATCTTTGTAGTGTTCTGAAATGGAATTATGTACTTGCTTTCAAAGACCATAGTAATGTGAACTTAAACTCAGGTCGATGCAAGAAGACTAAGGATTGTAGCGGTTAACGAAGTTCAGAAACTCAGATAGATGAATGTGTCAAGAAATCAGGTAATTCTGGTATCTTAGACAATGCAATAACAAGTACGTGAACGCACGTGTTTATAGCAGTACAATGTTACTCATTGTAGTATAGTTTGTTAATATCAGTAGTCCATACAAAAGTAATAAGTAGTCTTATAATAGTGTAGTTAACTGTCACATATATCTGGATACTTGATGAGAACTTCATTGAACTTACAAACGTAGGTCTCTAACTTATTCATATAATAGCCATCCATAGTGTAATCAATGATATCTTTCTAAAATCTACTGGCTATACACATCGTATTATCACAAACTTAGTACATCTGTCACTCGTGATTGCAAACTTTGTATCTTTACGACTTCCTCGTCCTGATCTAATTCTTTTTAAAGGATTCATAGGGTCTGGTGCACCTAATCAGAGGTGGCAAATACTGTCCAATGGTCTCTCAAAAACATCAATGTTTTGAATTAAGATTGCGGACTCTGTACCCTAATGATATCATAATTCTACACTAAGATGTTTTTGCTTTACCAATGAATTTAGTTAACAAAGAAGTCAAAATGTTAGTTGCTCTGGTGATTATTATCAGCGTTGGTCAGTACAAAGTTTCATTTTCTAGTTTTTCGCCATACTATGGTTGCTTTGTAACATAAACGTTAATTCTAGATATCCTAAAACACTATTTACCAGAGAAACCCTCTTGGTTTGCAAGTTAGTGAGAATGCTGCCCACAAATTGTTATTATATTTATAATACGTGTTTCAATTCTTGTGAATATTGTTCTGTCAAATTTTGTTTCTATTTCAGGTTCCACTTAAGGTTATCAATAATCCGATTCAACCTATTCGCCCTAAACCTGATTCAAGTAGTCCATTAGTTTGTATTGCTCCTCGTCCACCTCGTTTAGTCCAGTTAACTTCGTCAACTAGCATATATGAAAACACCGTTTCCCCGCAACCAATTTTAAGCTCACCTGGAGGTAATCGAATGTATATATCATCATCGTATCCTGTGCAACAAACACCCGTTGGTGGCATAAGACCATCTAATTCTCCAGTTTTAATTGACAATAGACCTGTTGTTTTTGCATCAACTCCGACTCCTTTAACACCACCACAAGTCCAATCTCCGCAACCTCAATCAATCCAGCGATTTAGCGTAATAGCACCAAAATCAGCAGTTCAGGTATGTTAATTGTTTCTGGTGTTGTACCCTATTGTTTTAAAATATTCAGCGGATAAAACTGTGCATTCGTGCATTCACATATATTCATTCGTCATTTTGAGAACTATAATGCCATCTTTGAAATTCTAAAGTTAGCTATATTTGTTGTACAATATAAAAAATAAACTACATTTTTACGTTGGTATGAAGTAAGTTTTGAAGCAGAAATCTTGAACCCTAAGTATTAGTAATTTTTCGTATAGAAAGTTCATCACAAAGAATAAATCCAATTGTTTACAACTTTTTTGTTTCTCTACCCTTACTTCATTTGTTTCACTTCCATGCTACTTGGTTCATTCGTAAAAGAAATCAGAAATTTTATAGGAACCTACTGAGTTCGTAAGCAGTATCTGAATGTGTCACATTTACCTGAATTATCACTATTACCATTAGAACAGAACCATGGTACGACGTTGGTACCAAAAGACGCAGCATACAAAATAACTAAGCAAAACTATGAAAACACAGAACATGGAATAGACAATGGAAACAAAAGTGGAAGTGAATTATTAAAGAAGTAGTCTCGAAGATACATCTAGAAAAGCATTCAATGTTTGCATCTTGGTTTTCAGCAATAAAAGAAACAGGAAAACTACATCTTGATCTCCATCGGTCTCGATTCTGAGCCATTTCCTCTATTGTCTCAAGCCACTGCTGAGTTGGGTGTTCTCTTGCACCCCATCCAAGGAATCCTGAGGCACCTACAGATACTAACCCAACACAACTATCCTTCATCTCACAGCCCCCCACTTCATACACTGACTATCTCTTCACTTCTTCCCATCAGTTTCGAAGCAAGCAAACAGTGTGTGTGTGAGCTACTGGGATGACATGCATAACACATGTCCAGGCCACCGAGTCTGGTATTTCAAGATGATCACACTCGATGAATAGCGGCCTCAATCGTTCTCAAACACACGTCGTCTTACCTCAGAATTACTCACATAGTGTTCCCGCCAGATGTGATTAATCCTACGCAAGCAATGGTCGTCATAAGTGCAAAGTCGTCAAACATCCTCAGCTTGGGGAGGCAAGATTTCTCAGGTGCACATCAGAACGGTTCACACAGACGCATTTTACACCTAACCTTTTACTCAGAGGTTACCATCAAGATGGCACTAAAGTTGACCTATATTAGTGCATGTCACTTTGGTCTTCAGTACATGGTTGGAAATCTCATCAGTCAACCTTCCACCAGCACTCACACGAAACTACTCAATTAAACAAACTTTTCGACAACTTGTCAGTCATTTTGTCAGTCAGGCACTGTGGACTTTGACAATGCAAAACACATACCATACTTACGAACATTGGTCGATAAGTGGTTGAGTTCAATCTGAGTAGCCTATGTGCTTTCGCACAGCGAAACTATATCGTCCTCATGCTGCAGGTCAAAAAGTGTTTGACCTGGTAACATGTCTGTCTACATATACTTTCTTCAGGGTTGTCTTGAGAATGCCATCTATGGGAAGGTTAAAGACGAGTGGTGAAATTAGGTAGCTCTACCTAACTACACTATTGGTTTAAAACAATGAAGATAAGTGACTGTGTACCTTTGGTCTACTTAAGGTGTTGAAATAAAGAGCTTCCAAGATGCTATCAAACTTCTCATAAGTACTCCTATCTAACAGATTATTAATGCACAACTCTTTCCAGAGAACCAAAGGTAACCCTAAAATCGAAGAATATAACAATCATTGACCTTCAATGGGTGTGGTAGTGTTCATACAGAAGTAAACTGGTGATCAATGCTCTTTGCGAATCAGAATGTCATGCTTTTGGTTCAGCCTTTGATGTTTAATAGCAGCCACTACTTTAGATGCTACTGGTAGTGGACTTATACTGTCTGATAATCACGCACGCTGCGCACATCATTTGTAAAAGTATGTTCGTTTTAGAATGATGAAATAACCAGTCTACCATACCATACCTTTGTGAACAATGACCGCAGTCTCACGCCCATACCTAGCATGAGCTAGGGTTAGGTTGTTTGGGACGGGTGTTTTATGACGCTTTAGTATTTCGAGTTCCTCACAGATCTGCTTCCTTGGGTCGATAAATGTTAACTGATCATACAGCACAGAACATTGAGGTTGATGTTGCTGGAGCAGTAGACCAGCTGAACCGCTTTTCGAAATGCTCAACCTTGTGTTCTTCTGGGCGTATATGAAAGTTAATGGTTGGTGTGCTATTCCCTTCACATACCGTCTGTACTGAAACCAAGCTTCCTACCGCCTGCTGGTGGCTTGGATGAGCTAGAAGAGCTTCCGACTATTGTTGGATGCAGCTTTTGTTTCCTTCTTATTTGCACATTCTGACCACCAGGCCTTACAGTCGGTACGCATATTCCGTTTGGTCTGCCACGTAGGAAACTTATGCACACCATTCTACTTGCTGCCTACCGGTATACACTGACGAGACTCAGTAAGTTGTAAAGAACTCTCAGCGACTCAGTGTTTTCTAGTGGGTGGTTCTCAAAGCCACATGCAGCTTTATTCGCTGTTTTTCATGACGTCTTGTAAGTGCAGCTAATGTTCATCTATACTTTCTGGAGGTTCGTCAGCTAACTTTGAATCCCTCTTGGTGTGGTACTTAGTTTAAGTGCTAAGTGCAACCAGTTAGCTTTCATCAACCCGTTTTGGACGACGATTTTGATGACTACCAATACTCTAGCTGAGTTTACTACACACTAAAGAGTGATGAAAGCCCAAACAGGTGCTATCGGTAGCCGATGCGATATGATATATGTGAGTCCAGTCTTAAGTGGTAGAGGAAAGATTCCAGACAGCTCGGTGGTGATGACTATGCCGAAAGTTGATGATGGTTAAGAAAAGGAAGAACTTTTTTAACTGGTGGTTATATGGCTGTTAAACATGATCACCAAAAGCGGAGAGTATGAAAAGGCGTCAGTTTTTCAACTACCATTGCCTTTGTTGCATAAGTCGTGTGTCGTTGTGTCACCACATCGGTCGTACGGTTTCGGGGAGAAGAGGAAATTGAGTTGCTAAGTTTGTGAACCTTTATCTACTCACGTGGCTGGGACATGTATTATGCATGCTTAGTCACTGTCTGCCTCATCGCACCATGTTAACTAAAGTATAATAAGGCTAGAAGAAGGCTAGAGGTGGCCCAAACTAAAACGCGGTATCCATCCCTGAATTCTTTGACTATTGCTCTTAGCCATTCATGGAAATGTAGACTTCCTGGTTGGGATCCGCATGACAACAGAAACCGGTGGTTGATGACTGTAGGTGACGTGACTCAGAACTGATATTAGTGGCGTATATGTGTCTGCAAATTATCTTGTTAATTGTCATACTTTATTTCAGTATTCTTTTATTCTTCCTTGCACTCTTCTGATTACTCCACTTTAGTTGGTTTATTAGATGTTTCACAATGAGATAGTATTATTTGCTGGATTACGTTTCAGATGCATTTTATTGTGATAGTCGTGTCAAGATAACTGCACAACTTTGAGACATGGTTTATATAGTTCTAATTTTATTGTCTTCTTTGTGAGACGGGTAATAGGATTTTCCATATATCTGGAACAGGTGCTGGGTCATTCCTGTTGCATATATTAAGTATTTGAACCTATAAACCTAGCTAAGTCAAAATTGGTAGATCCTAGTCAGATAAGGAATTCGGAAAAAACCTTGGCCATAGCTACGCATGCAATTACACACAACCACACAATAGGATGGGACAGGGTTAAAGACAAAGTAGCGGAGTCGATAGGGAGATTGATGATTGAATTTTTTATTTTTCGTCTCAACATCTATACAGTCAACAAAAATAACTCAGCGCATGTTCCGGTTGGATATATAGAAAGTCTGAGTTACTCTCAAGACTACCCCAGCAACTACTGGAATAACCAATTAGGTTTTTTTATTCTTTGAAAATCTACCTTTTCAGCTGAAACACTAAAACCTGATTGGTTACTTCATCAGTTCCTAGGTTGGCCTTTAGAATCATTCGAAAATAACCCTACTACCCATATCACAAAGGAGGCGATAAAATTAGAACTATATAAACCATATCTCGAAGTTGTGCAGTTGTCTTGATACGACTATGGACAGTAACATGTGCCTGAAACGTAAACCAGTAAACAATACTGTTCCACTATGATACATCTAATAAATCAACTAAAGTGGAATTACATTCCATCACCTTTAACTGCTTTCCTTCTTATTTCTGATCTTTCATCTTAGTGCATTCTCTCTTGATACACTGACGTGAGTTGTATCAACTTGAACTGTTGCCCAGTAATTCTAGGTCCTATGTTAAAATTGTCTGCTTATCAGTTGCTGGTAGAACTCATCTTTGACTGCATCCGGGCTGAAGTCAGTTGGAGTATAAGCAGAGACGAAAGGATATTATTTCTAACTACATGTCCAATTACTTCTCAGTTCAATAGAACCCTCTAGCCTAACATCACACAAACGACTTTAGATGGGAATCGAGCCGACCAGTGCAGCTTTGGTTGCAGGTGCTATTGGGTCCACACATAAGCCCTTTGTGAACACAATTTTTGAGCTCACATATGGGGAAGTTATTCTAAGCACTTCACTAGGATCTTGCATGTGGATCTTTGAGACGCAACGTACATGAGTGTCAAAGCTTTCCAGAGTCCCTAGCCAAACTTGTCTATTGTCTGATCTGAATCGAAACTAGGACTTTGCAGATGGCCAGCTCAAGCGGTGAGTGTGGTTTCAGAATAGTTGTATCAGATATCACACTGAAGGAAAGGTTTGCCAAAGCAACAGTTCGGGTCAAAACGGCTAAAAATGACGCGGGCAGATCAAGATTTGAGTCAGTGACATGTAGCTGAAATGAAGGAAGGATACATACAGGGACAAATTTAAAAATGGTACCGAAAAGGCAGCATAGTTCATTTGTCGGAATAATGATGATTTAGAGACAGTAAGTCAAGCGATGAAGTATTTTCGTTACACAATGAATTTTGTTTTTTGAGCAAAGATTTGGTGAGGGCTGTGAAATTTTCATTGTTGATGTTGATGCATAAAATGTATGTGGTCTGTGATACTACCTGGAAGTCGAGATGAAAGCAGGCTGTTGTCTTAAGTGACTACTTATTGAGCCTTTGATTTGAAGTCTGACCCACTAGATGGTGGAACAACACCACTTGCTGCATTCCATGGGTTGCTGGTGGCCAAGATAAGTATCACTTGCTGTTCCTTCGTCCTGTATGATGAGTTTTGAATGCACCAGAGGTTTGGAATTAAGGTATTCAAACTCCCCTAGGTGTACTCTTTGTGTATACCAATCTTTGTGTATCTCTGAATATTCACTTTTATGGAAACATTTTTTGTTACGTGAAGGTAATGTGTAGGACTTTCCCGACTGAGATCATTTCTACGGGATGACCGGGATCCTTGCTCCCTCAACCACATCAGGGTTTTTGGAGGGAAGATACTTGTATACCACAGATTTTGTAACGAATTAGAAAACAGACTAGTAAAACTGTCAATGTTAGCTTTTATTAGTGGCTTTAGCATTTTTTAAAACTTTCAGTTCAAATACATATGATGATTATGAGATTTACACATGCCTTGGATAAATGTAGTCATCCCTATTTTACTCATCCATCCTTCATAAAACAGGTGATTCCAAACTTTTTTGGTCAAATTTTAAATAGTTTGGTGTAGTACTTGTATGATCTATATGTAAGTCACACTATGTCCAACTGATCGGTATACGTAGTTGTAGACTGTTCACACCGCACAATCTGTCCCTCTGATGTGATACAAACCAGATGCGTCGGTGACCATCGGCGCCTCAAACAAATGAAACGATTATCTGGTGTTTAGATCATCTTTATTTAATTGGTCTACAGCTGCGGATATCAGATTGTAGTTTATATTTCTCAGCTTCCACACAGCACCACTGTGGTGCACTCTATTTTGCTGTTGGATGTCAGAAGTCGATCAACATGAAACTTTGGACCTAGTTTTTGTGCATTTTGTCTCTCACCTCCGAGATGTATCTGAAATCTTGATTGCTGATACATAATGTTGATGAGTGCTAGGCTGCATAAATTGGTTGCAGTGTCTTATTTTGACTGTGAAGCTTTTATTTTTTTATTATTATTAGTCCCTTGGGTTCCTAGTGGAACATAGGGCTTCAGTAGCACGCCTCCAGTGACCTCTGTTCTCTGAGATCTTTTGAACCTGGTTCCACGACAGCCCAGAAGCTCTCATTTCCTCCTCGCATGACCTCCTCCATGTCACCCTCGGACGTCCAACTCGTCGCTTCCCATGGGGATTCCACTCGAGGGCCTGACGCGTGATGTCCTCAGTCGGCCTTCTCAGTGCATGGCCAATCCATCTCCACTTCCTCCTGCATATTTGTTGCGTGATAGGTTCTTGGTTGGTTCGTTCCCAGAGTTCCTTGTTGCTTATTTTTTCTGGCCATCTGATCTTCAGCAGCGAGCGTAAGCAGTTGTTGATGAATGTCTGTAGTTTATTGGAAATCCCTTTCGTGACGCGCCAAGTCTCTGAGCCATACAAGAGCACTGACTTGACGTTGGTGTTGAAAATCCGTATCTTGTTCCGCATGCTGAGTGCAGAAGATCTCCACACTGGTTTCAGGCTAATGAACGCCTGTCTTGCTTTTCCGATTCTGACTTTGACGTCCTCGTCTGTGCCTGTGCCGCCTGTAGTTGAAACAATGCTTCCTAGATAAGTGAAGGAGGTTACTTCCTTCAAGTTTCTCCCGTTGACGGTGATTGGAGTTTGTTGTTGTTGTTGTTGATGGTGGTGGTGCGGTATCTTCATCACTTCTGTCTTCTCTATATTCACCTGAAGTCCCGTCTTGGCTGCCTCTTCTGTCAACTTGTTAGTTTTTGCCTGCAGATCTTCAAGTTTATGTGACATTAGGCATACGTCATCGGCGAAATCCAAGTCTTCTAGGTTCTTTTCCGTCGTCCAGTGTATCCCCCTCTTCTCGCTGCCTACTGTTTGCTGCATGATCCAGTCCACCACAATAAGGAATATCATGGGGGATAGTAGGCAACCTTGTTTCACTCCTGTCTTCACTTCAAAAGCATCACTGAGCTTCCCATTGTGAATTACTTGGCATGTGGCATCTTCATATAGTTGTTGAATGAGGCGGATAAAGGTTTGCGGTACTCCGTAGTATTGAAGCAGTTTCCAAATTACTTCTCGTTCGACGCTGTCAAAGGCCTTCTCAAAGTCGATGAAGTTGAGGCAGAGAGCTGATTGCCATTCAATGCTCTGTTCTATGATGATGCGAAGCGTTGCAATTTGGTCTGCACATGATTTGTACTTCCTGAAGCCTGCCTGTTCCGGTCGCAGTTTTGAATCCAGTGCATCTTTAAGCCTCTCCAGGATGATGCGGCTTAATATTTTACTTGGGGTGGACAGGAGAGGGATTCCGCGCCAGTTCTTGCAAGCACTGAGGTCTCCCTTCTTCGGCAGTTTGACAAGGTAACCCTTCTTCCAATCTGGCAGGTACCTTCTCTTCCTTCCACACCTTCTGCAATAGTGGTGTGAGCATGTCCGCTGTTGTCTCTGCATCTGTTCTCAGTGCTTCTGGCGGTATCCATCTGGTCCTGCTGCTTTCCCGCATTTCAGTAGCTTTATGGCGTTCAGGACTTCCATTTTCGTTGGGGGATTTATGTTCACTTGTAATTCAGCGGCTGCAGGTGGTATTTCTGGACGAAGTGCAGGTGGTGGTCGATTCAAGAGCTTCTTGAAGTGGTCGGCCCATCGTTTCCTCTGTTTCTCTTCTTTTGTAATTAAATTTCCTTCTTCATCTTTTATTGGTTTCATCTGTGTTGGTCTCTTCCCTGATAGCAACCTGGTTATTTGATACAATGTCGTCAGGTCTCTCTTACCTGCAGCCTGTTCTGCTTCACTTGCCAGTGTTTCGTAGAAGTGTCTTTTGTCTTTGCGTGCACTCTTCTTCACTTCTTTGTCCAGTGTTTTATACATTGTACTCAGTTCCTCTTGTCGTTGAGCATCCTTGCACTGGTTTATCTTCTGCTTCACCATCCTCCTCTCCTCTATCAGCTTCCAGGTATCCGTCGAGATCCATTCCTTGTCTTCTTTCTTCTTCCTTCCTAATACTGTTGTGCAGGTTTCTTTCCACATAGCTTTCAAAGACTTCCAGTGTTCTTCCACACAGGTTTCTTCAGAGATGTTCCTCGATAACTCCCATTTTGTCTTGATGGCTGCCTTGAAGATCTCCTTTGTAGTTTCATCCTTCAGTTTCCGAGTGTTGTACTTGAATTGAGGTCTATCACCAGCTTCCTTGAAGGCTTTTAACTTGATTTGGAAGGTTCCTTGCACTAGATAGTGGTCTGAACCTACATCTGCTCCTCTTCTTGACCTTGTGTTAAGTAGACTGCGTCTCCATTTTCTTGAGATTGAGATAAAGTCGATTTGATTTTTAGTGTGTCCATCTGGTGAAATCCATGTCGCTTTGTGGATATCTTTGTGCCTGAACACACTGCCTCCAATCACCAAATCGTTGAATGCGCAGAATTCTGCAAACAATTCTCCATTCTCATTCATTTCACCTAGCGCCTCTCGACCCATGGTTAGTTCTCTTCCTGTGTTGTCCCCTCCCAGTTTGGCATTCATGTCGCCCATTAGAATTTTGATATCGCCAACTGACGTCTTGTCCAGTGTTGATTGAAGTTGTCTGTAGAATTCCTCCTTTTTCTCTTGCTCTGCATTATTTGTAGGTGCATAACATTGTATGATTGTGACCTTCCTTCCTTTTGAGTTGAATCTTGCTGTCATGATCCTGGAGGAGATTGGTTCCCACTGCATGAGAGCCTTCGATGCTCTTGAGGACATCATGATAGCCACTCCCTCAGTGTGCTCGTGGTTGGCGTCTGGGTGACCGGAGTAGATTATTGATTCTCCAGTTGACAGTTTGGAGAGTCCACTCCCATTCCATCTGCTTTCGCAAATTCCAAGCACTTCTATGTTATACCTTCTCATCTCCTTTGCAATCTGGGCTGCCTTACTGGGTTCAAACATCGTACGGACATTCCATGTCCCCACGTTTACTTTCGCTTTCATCGAGAGAAGACACATCGGCCAATTGGCTTCCCGAAGGCTTTCACCAACTGGCGTCATTTCGCCTCTCCGATTCCAGCGGGGAATAAGTTTGTTTTCATTTTTTATATTTTGTTTGTGCTTTGAAGTTTCTTTAGCGGTTAGATTTGTTTTACGGGGTAGGGTTGCTAGCCCTATGCCCAACCTTCCCTCTTTACCCGGGCTTAGGACCGGCTAGTAACTAGTAAACTAGTTAACCAGGCGAGGTTTGAAGCTTTTAATGGTAGTGAAATAACAGTAACTTTGTTAGTTTCGAACGCTTAGGTTTCATTACGATTGTGTTTTTACTTCATGAATGTAATTATGAGTAAGCAACATGTATTCAGGTCGTTCACTTTTTCATTACTCTTCTCATTGATATACTCAATAGTTCTATATTAATTGGCTTTATTCAACAAGCTAATTTGATCGTATTTTCTGTCTACTTTGATTTTTTAATAACATAATATAGTTATCAACAAATCAAACGTATGTTCAAATACTACCTCGACCTACGGTGACGACGGTTCAAACCAGATCACCTGGTGTGACTGTACTGAAGCCATTTAATCAAAGCAAAGTTCCTGTAGACTCAGTTGGTGTAACATCTCAAAACATTTCTAACCGTCAAGTAATAGTGTCAAATGTTTACAATGATGGCCTAAATAATAATAATAATGTGTTGAATCCATGTGGTGTGGCTCCTGTATCTGTCACCAGCAGTTTTTCAAATTATGATTTAAATCAGCGTGTTCAAAACGTAATAATTAACCAGGAAGTAGACACCATACAGTCTCCTCAACCTCCATCAACATATGCTATTACTGGTACTGTTGTTAGCACTTCTACGAACTTATCATCTGTGAAAATCCAAGATGATTTGTGTTTGACCGAATCACAATTAAGTGTTGTTCAGAGTTTATTTCAAGGTGCTAATCGTGTTACTCGACCTGAAAAGGCGATGATTATATCTTTCATAGCTGGTTCACGAGGTAAGACTCTTTGAGATATGTTTACTTTTGCTCTAAAGCTACAGTACACTAAACTACCATTTAGTTTTGTATATTCATCTTTGAGGTACCGACTACTGGACATATGTAAGTTACTTAGTGGAGATCTTGTTTAATGAATACTTGTGAACGAAAAGCATCAGAATCCTCTTGTCGACCAAACTCCAACTAACGAAATCGTGGCTGTGTAATAGCCTTTGTGCTGGCTGTAATAATCTGGATGTAAATACGGTTTCGTTTCATACTTACTCACCTTCATCATCTATGATACCGATGCTAGTGTTCAAATGTCCAACAGTTTGGCCTGTTATATTCGGCAACACTACCGTTGGTGGTGGAATCACTTTTTTGGGAGTGTCAAGATTAGGCTTTGATTCAATAAGGTTAGGAAGTCAATGGCACTGTGACTAGAGTTATTAGAGCATCCACTGTACATGCGGAACTGCTACTCACCGTGACGCATGGTCACCACTAGAGCAGAATTAAGCTTTAGAGATACGGTAATAATGTATAGAGTCGTCAACTGTCTGTTCTGTGCTACAATGTTGTAGCTTTCTGAATTAGGTCTTCAAATTCTGGAAATAATTGACTAGATTTACATAGATATAAGTCAGAAGGAAATACAATAGTAAAGATGCACTCACTATTTGTCTTTTGTCTAATTGTGTTGCTTTGTTTGAAGTTCATTTGTATGCAGCGTCCTTCTTGTTCACTCCAGTATCTGTCTGCTTTTGTCAATTTTCTCTTTGTATGCTATTCAAAAGTGTTGTGGCTCCAAACAGTTTTCTTCAGTACAAGATTCTACTTTGTGCCTGACTTTCTGTAGTGCATTAATCTCTTTGGTGTGAATGATAAGGTCTTATATACATAATGATCTTGTTGCGATTTTGAAGGAGCTAAAACAACATTTGGTATGTGGGACAATTATCATCATCATCACCACTAAATGATGATAATAATTACTTTGAGGTATTTAGAATCCCTACAAAATAACTTCTATGTGACGATGCTTTTATAAGGAAGTTTTTGTAGTTCAGGAGGGTGATCTAGATCATGTCTCCTTAACTGTATAGTTTATTCAATTGTTCATCACTAATCAGTCATCTAGATATCAAGTGACACATATCTGGCTGTTAGATGAAGCGCCATTTTTTGTGCAGATAATAACCATTGAATTCTTTTAGCTGTAGTAGAGGACTGTAGCTCATTAGTCCAAACTTTCTAGTATCAACTATCATTGTATTATGGATGCAAGCTGACTGACGACTTATTCACGGTAAGTGGACAGTATAAAGTGCACCTCATATATGTAGTTTGGTCTAAAACAAATAAGTAAACTGGCAGTCATCATTTTCACTGAACATTGAAATGGTAATAAAAGTTTGTCAGTCTTTTCTCTTCGTTATTTCATTCGTAAGTTATTCTTACAAGTCTGAAGTTAGGTGTACCTTTATTACCAAAAGTACGGTTAATAGTGGGGAGATTTGTTGAAAAACTAGATTTTTGTGTTAGTTTTGATGAGTAAATCGAATTTCTTTCTGATTAGTTATTAGCTTGATCGATCGTTTTGTTGATAATTTAACAAAATACGTATCTGTGTATTGTTATTTTTTTGGGATCTACTCACACATTGAGGTGGTTAGTTGATTCATTCATTCTATTAATCCTGCTGTAAAATTTCACAATATTTTAAAATCGAAGATATGCATGCATGATAAGAAAGCTACTTTAAACATATTTGTGATAACTTCAGCGCTATGCATGAGCCATCTGTATGACTATTTTGTATTACAGAATGTTACCTTTGTAAGGAGGAGGAGCTCATTGATTCATGATCTCAAGTTCAATACCACTTTGACATAATCAACCCTTTGAGTTCTTGGTTATTTATAAATAGCGATGTTAGAGCCTATGGTGAGTTGTCCAGGGAGCTATACTCATCAAGTGGTGTCCGTCAAGGATGCCCACTATCTCCATTCTTATTTAATTTTATCATAGATATTCTTATGGAGGTTTCCCTCTCGTCACCTAATTACAAAGACGTTGACCGGATCACAGGTGAATTTTCCTTAGATCTAGAATATGCAGATGACATAGTCCTGTTAGGTGAAGACGCTGACAAGATGCAGAGTCTTCTGAACACTTTGAGTGGGAATTTGAGAATGTTTGGGATGCGATTTTCACCACCCAAATGCAAATTTTTGCTCCAGGACTGGTCTTCAGCGGTACCGCGGTTAACAATAGAGAGTGAAGTGGTTGAGTGTGTTGACCACTTCACTTACCTGGGAAGTAGGATCAACCCTGGTGGGTTAGTTGCCGATGAGATTTCTGCACGGATACAAAAGGCTCGATTGGCTTTTGCCAATTTGCGCCACCTATGGCGCCGCCGTGATATTCGTTTGTCTATTAAGGGTCGCGTGTACTGCACAGCAGTCCGCTCTGTTCTACTGTATGGCTGTGAAACATGGCCATTGAAAGTGGAAGACATGAGAAGGTTACAGGTATTTGACCACCGTTGCCTTCGTAGTATAGGACGTATTCCGTGGTGTCACCATGTGAGTAATGCAGAAGTTAGGTGTAGAGTTTTAGGGAGAAGAGGTAAGTCAGTCGACGAGGTTGTGAACCTTCATCGACTGAGATGGTTGGGACACGTACTACGTATGCCTAGTCACCGATTGCCTCGTCACACAATGTTGGCTGAGGTGGGTTCAGGCTGGAAAAAGGCCCGAGGTGGCCAGACTAAAACATGGCACCAATGTATGAAGTCTCTGACTGTTGGTTTAAGCCATGTAGGACGATGCAGACTAGGTGGTTGGGGTCCACGGGACAAGAGGAACCAGTGGTTGGAGACCCTAGGTGATATGGCTCAGAACCGAAGTCAGTGGCGCAGATGTATACACACATTATCCTCATCTTAACAACGCTATACCGAATCTCACTATTTTGTCACTCCTCTTTCCTTTCTTCTCGTACTTTATATTTCTTTTGACTGCATTCACTTATCTTCATCCTTCACCTCACTACCTTTTTACTTGATGTGCTGATATGAGGTGTGGCAACTCGGACCGTTACGCAGTAATGCCTGGTCCTATGTTGATAATGATGATGATGATATAAATAGCGATCATTTCGTCACCTATAGTAGGCACTTTAATTTACTTGGCATTCTGGAACTAACCTTCGTCCAAATTAACTGAATAGTTGAATAACTTTTAGTCAACTTACCTTCAGGATTGGTTGTCTATCAACTATCTAATAATTCTTACTTGGTATCACATGTTCTATTTGTTTTATTCTATAAGGTTGTAATAATTTTACTGACCAGTCATTTTGTTGTCTGGTTGTTTCGGGTTGTGCAGTAGAAAGAAAAGAAAAGAAAGAAGAAATGCAACTCATAAACCGTGCACACGTTCGTGCATTAGGTAGTGAGTTACACCTATTTATTGTCTGAGAGCTAGTGACACTCCTAGGGTGGGGTTCGAACTCGTAACCCATTGGTTACAAAACAACGGTCCAGACCGACGAACCACAACTCCATGTATATATAGTCAGATTTCATTAGCACATACATCATGCTGCCATGCTACCTGATTGCTGAAACACTTCTCAGCATTTGTCAAGTAACAGTTGGACGAAGACAAATGAAGGTTATCAATTGACTAATAAGTCTAGAGATAGAATATTGGGCTAGTTTTTGAATAATATTTTTATACTATTTTATACTATTTAATGCACACAAAGATTTATTACAATCCACATACTACTTTATTCAGAATTAGGGGGCTGTGGTGGATTGATGACGTGAATGAGAACTGATATATCAACAACAAACTGTTATTATTGTTGTTGCGCACATGAATGTTTTACTGAACAATTTATGGTAAAAATGGTCTAGTTGTCTAGACATATGTTCAGTCAAACTGTTCGTGAAGTCACTCATACTGTTTAGATTTTTCTTATTGATCATACACCTTGGGTAATCTTAAATACTATTCTGAATTTTCCACTTTTCATTTTGCATTATAAATTTTTCTCATTTTCCATTTCTAGATAATCCACGTCCAGATACCGGTCAGACAACTCGTATTCGCCTTAGTGAACATAGAGAACGAGTCCTCAATCAGAGTACTGGTCAACTAATGGATTTAGCTGTGGATACATATCTTACTATGGATTATTCGACTGGCAAATATGAAAAAGTTAGATGCTATCGTACTGAAACTCCTGAAAATCTTGTCAATTTACCCCTTCAAACTAGCATTCAGTGAAAAAGTGTTTAAAAAAAGAAGACAAGTTTTCTTTAAAGAAACAATTAGTCATAGTTTCAACTCTCCGTTACCTATTTTCTCTTTTGTCTAGATCTCCTTCCGATCTGACATTATTACAACTAATAGTGTACACAATTGAGCTGGGTTTTTTTGTCTTTATCTTCCTTTCCTTAGCATACATCACACTGCAGTATTATTAAAGCCTTCCTATCTCATGAAATCTATAATAACCGTATACTTTTTGTTGCTAGGATTTGCCTTGATATACAGCAATTCTTTCAAGTTATCACTAACAATTGAGTAATGTTGACAGGTTGTTTTTCAAGATTTCCAGCCTGACTTGAATTTCTTTTCTTTTTTCTCTTCCTTTTTTTAATTTATTGTTTAACAGTTTATAGGTAAGAATAATAAGCACATTGAAGATGATACATACAGGAATGAGAAAGAAACAATGAAGTAGTACATTTTCACATGTTCCTTTGTCTGTTATAAAATGTAAATATATATATATATATACATATAATATATATATATATATATATATATATATATATATATATATATATATATATATATATAAGACAATATTCATTATTTAAAAATATTTTAATAATATTATTCTCTCAGTATACATATCAACTAAGTAAAGACTCTATTTTCGTATTAAAGTATTATCGTTATGAAATTGTACAGTTGAAATATTTTGTTCTGGATATGAGTTACACTCTATTTGTTCATTTCTTTTTATGGAAAAGAAGTAGAGAAAGGAAAGCTTACATTCATATACACATATTTATGTTGTAAATAAATCTGGTCCATATTACCGTTGTTGCAATTCTATGTTTGTTCTGAGATTTTTTTGTTTTTGCTGTTTATTTTATGCATGTTCACTTCCTCAGATATAGCCTAATCACTCAGTATACAAACACTTCAGCTGTTTAAGCATCAGCCTATTGACTCAACAACTCGACTTTCAAGCGATGGGCCTTGGGTTCGAATCTTGACCTCAGTAGCCGGGTAATATCATAGACTTTTACACAAAAAGACTGGCTTATAGCCTAGTACATAAACATGTGCTTTGTTGAGTTATATCACTGTTATATCTAACTTCAGCTGTTTCTTAAATGTTGATAAGCTACTTGGTATATTCTTTTCAATAATACCTTGCATTTGGTAAGTAAGCTCAGTGAAGTTTCAGTTGGAAGTTGTAGTTGTTTGGTGATAAGTAGGTTTAGAGTGAAAACACTTTCACGCTGATGATGTTAAAAGACGAGTTTGTATGCTGTCATATTTTCGGATTCCATATACATTGACACTATCACTGTGCTACATGTTAGTCTATGTTTCTTCGCTGAGGAAATTCATGACTACATCCTAACAAGGAGTTCCAAAGAAAGATAAAACTGTAGCGCACTGGATAGTAATCCTTTTTATTTCCCTGTTAGATACTATTTCATTACTGAGACTCTTTGGAAACCAGTTAAGTCATCTAAGACAATTACTTTTAGTTACAGATTGTGTCCCCCAGGTATTTTAGTACTTTGTTCATAATCTTTTGTTTGATGCGCCGAACTAGTCGCAAATCTGTAATTACTTCTCATCAAATGTTCAAATGAAAAATCTTGGTTTTTATTAGGTGTTGACTGACAAGAATTTTGACGTGTTGGTTATTTGTATGGTTCATAAAGTTTGTAATATACATTGGACTATTCCTCTGTCATTATGTAAACCGAATTTGGCTTTATTCTGTGTTTGATAGGGATTTCATGAACATCAAAATAAATGTCTGGGAACAAAGACAGAAAATGATGCGATGAGAAATAAGGACATTTTTTATAAATGTTGAGGGGAAATAAAATACTTTTCCAATAAGCTGAATGGCTCATAGATAGTATTACCACAACCCCACTAGATTAACTGTATGACCTGTAGTTGTGAATCGTATGTGCGGTGACTATTGATATCATTTCCTTCTCTTTTATTATTCAGTTATAAAACTTCTTTGTTTTGGAAAAAATATTTCAGTCGCCGGTAATGAAGAATTTAAGTCTTTGAGTACTTATTCTCTTCTTAATAGAAGATTTACCTTACAATCTTATCTCTGGTTAAATTTTGTTTATTTTCTTTTCAGTCATATCTGCTATCTATAATGTCCTCTCACTTATCTTGGTTTTCTACTCTCTACACAGGTGAAACTATCTGTTACAGAATTGCTAGCAAGTAAATTGTTCTGGCTAAGGTTGACTTTCGTTTAAGAAATTGACAATATGAATCGGCTTCATCTTGTGAATTACCATCTAGTGCATAACTCATATACTTTTGCCAAGATTTTTTCAAATCATGCGCTGCAAACTTTGTTTTCTCTCCTTTTTACTGCTCTAACAACTTTTCTAAGACTTTAAAAAAAAAAAACCTATTACTGTATAAACCCTATGAGCTTCGGTACCATTATCTAAAATTTTAAAACAAAAATGATGAGATGTTGTTACTGCTTAGTGACAGCATCTATATTTGTCATTATCTCCCTAATATGTGAACGAGGTCTTTACAGTTTTTCTTAACCTGTGCATCTGCTTTGAACTAAATTAGTTATCGTTTATAATCTTACATATTTTTACTAATTTTACGGATTAGAAGAAAATCAATTCATATTTGGATGCAAATATTTTCCCGAGCATTTCAGACTTACTGGGCTCATACTGCATGGATTCATTTGTCGTATGATATCGGATTGCAAACGAATGACTTGATAATGAGTTTTTTCATGGGGATGAGTTGTAACTTAGTTCCTGCGATACAAATTTTTCCTTTGGCTATTCTTTTATAATACTTGTGGTTTTTGTTGATTTACAGGCGAAAGATACATCTGGCTCAGGGTTTATTGGCCCTTTAACCCAAGCTGAATATGAACAGTTATATCCTCGAACTGATAAACCTGATCTGTTAGCTGAAGTAGCTGCTGAAGAAAACGAGTGGATAGAATTTGAACGTTTAGATGAAAAAGAAGCTGTTCAGGCAGGAACTGCAGCTTGGGCTCCTTTAAAACCACCATTTATTGATTCTCATTTTTCTATTTGGTCTCTGTCAGAATCTATAAGTGCTAGCCAGCTATACTTAGGTGGAAAGTTACCTCCACCTCCATCAGCTAACTGGGCAAAGGTATTACGACGAGACTACACCGCAGATGATTACGAAGAAGAAATGAATTATATGCGTCTTCGAGCTGAGAACGAAATGAGATATGAAGTTGGTGAATTGGCCCCTGTACGATATGCCATTCATGTTCAGGTAAACAATTGTATTATTATCACTTTATCTGTGTGTGTTGTGTATTTTAATATTTTACTGTATCTTTTTTGTAAATTTTATCTCCGTGGTTTCACCATGATACACAGTAAACCATAGCTATTTTGTAGACACTTGTGACATTCAGTAGAGACCCACACTTCTGTAAGCAAAGTGGGTTCGAATCCGACGACTTACTGACTGGAGATAAGTTACTGAGGCCAATATGCCATATCTCCGTTTCATAATGTGCAAAACGCTTATAATCGTGTTGAAAAATATTCCATGCATTCTGTCCCATTCGTGGATTTAAATGAGGCAACAATAACCAGATCTCCTCAGTACCATAAATGCATTCTGTTAAGCTGTGCTAACGTCAGCTACACACCGTCGAAATATGAAAATAGTAAAATATGTTAACACGAAAGCTGGAATGGTGAGATTCTTTGAAGCATAGAAGTGGAAAACGGTATTGACAAATACTGAGGGCTGTGTTCGTGGAATATTGAAGAAAATAATCATTTAATTGCAGGCAGATAAGAATATAAACACTAGATCAGTGCAGACTATATTTGCCTACAGATGCTTCGACCCTTTTGGTCATTACTGACTAGACAGAGCCTTAAACTAGCCATAGTGAGAGTGCACTTGACTTGATTTCAAATTTTACTGCTCTCTAGATTGTAGAAAGAGCATTATTTCGATATGCGGTGGAAAACCTCGCTACCTACGCCTCCACCAACAAACAAACAACTACGCTGGTAAACAAACTTTCCGATGACTTTCAGCGGTTTCCCACCGAACTTGAGTGCATCTATACACTGTTACGAATCTTGTTAAAACACTCAGCACTTCGACAGTGCTATGCGCATACCTTACTTACGGACATGGACCACCAGCTGACTAATTGTGATTTTTGTAGTTTATATTGTCTCGCAGTGGATCGATATCATCCGCATACTCGAGGTCGGAAAGTCCTTCATGCAGTAGCACCACAACCACCGCGCACTTCCTCCAGAAATGTCTTGAGAATGCCATCGGTGGCAATGTTAAAGTGGACTGGCGAAATCGGGCAACCCTGTTTAACCGCGCTTCTGGTTTAGAATCAAACAAAGAGTGCATAGAGCTCTCAAAGTGCCCACCTGATTTTCAAGGACCCCTCTCTCTAGTAGGTGACTTCAGGGCATATTCATGTCCAGTGGATCAGAGGCACTCTTAATATCAAGAAACATGATGGTTGTTTGCTTGCAAAACACGTGATGATGTCTGAGCACCTGATGGCTAGTCAACACATGATCAATGCATGCATGGCCTGAACGAAACCAGGTATGCTTCTGATGAATTATCTTATTAGGCAGTTTTGTGAGCCTAGTGGTGGCGTAGTAATACCATGATCGTTGTGACATACATTACGTTTAGGCTTTTTTAAGGATGGGATCAATGGTTGCGTCGTTCCAGATTGATGGAACCATCTTTCCAAATAATCTCATGACTTGCATTATTAAACATCCCAGATAATATTGTAAGTGAATGAACTGCTGCTCGTTTTCTTGATGAATAATCCTGAACGATCGATTTTGATGTCTGTGGTACAAGCCTGTGGGAGTTTACTGCCGTTCTCGCTGGCAAGTTACTTCTTTCTTCTGCAATAGTTTGAGGGTCAGTATCAGTGTCACATTCACTATCCGATTTAATGGCGTGGAACGGAAGGCTGACTGAAGGTCAGTTAAACTATCTGTTCATTTGAACCTGCTGAGGTCCACTAAACTTTTTAAATTTTTAAGAAATGTCATTACTATTTGTTGATATGCTTATAATTCTGCGTTGCTTTACTGGATCGAATTGTTATACCTGTATTGGCATATGGGCTCCTATGCGGATGCCTCGATATAGCCTGAACACCAATTATGCCAACTTACTTGGTTGGACCTCAAATTAACAAATGTTATTGCTGGCGTAGCTGTTTGGTTGAATGTTATATGCAAGCCCTACCATCACGTCATGTTAACAGCTATCAGATGTTCGTTATGGTTACAGCTGATTGAGTTGTAGTGAAGGCTTTGTCTCCCTTTCGCACTGCCCTTCTATTCATCATTCTCGGAAATTTTGCCTGGAAGTCATACAAGTTTAAAGTTACTTGCATTATATATGGTCTTTTGCAAGGTTGGATTCCCTAATTCATTCTAGTTATTCAAATTTAGCGAAGATATTTGTATCGAGGTCGTTTCTAGAGTTGTGTTGTTTTCCTAAATGTACATGCTTTAAGTTTTGTTTAAGATGGATATTTCATTTAAGTTTCGAGCAAGTTATAGACATATGATTATATTGAGTAAGTTAATCATGCTTAGTCATATGATACTTTTGTTTATCCCTCAGAACTTCCAATTTAATATATAAATAAACAGAGGGTTATATAATCCTGCCTGAAAATGAATCAGTTAAGAACACCTCTCTGCATTCTTCAGGCTTACTATTGTCCGGCATTTGTTTCTCTACCATAAAATGTAGCAAGTGGTGTGATTTTTCGATATAGATCAAAATCATTCATAGTAACGCAGATGGATCAACTTTCATCTTTTTATGTCTTGAGTACATCATTACGCCCCATTTATCTGTATTTCCACTCATGTCACTTATTTTACTGATTCTACTTGCACTTCATTTTTGCAGACCCTATTATAAGAGGTTGTAATTTAGTTGCAATGTTCCATTTGACATTGTTTTACTGAAACACTGTGATTCTAGAAATATAGTGTTCTAATTTTCTTTTCCATGATGTTTATGTTAGCTGGGGTTCGTTTGGATGTTACCATGATTGCATTTTTGACTCTTGGTCAGCTTATTATAATCTTGAAACTACTCTCTTCTCATAAACTGATCAAATCAATCATATTTTCACTGGATTCAATCTGTCTACTCTTTGTGATTCAGACTTAACTATGAGGCACAAAATTAAAACTGTATTTTAATTACCTCATTGTAGATTGTTAGTCTAGACATATCTGATAACCTACTTGTTTAAGTCATTTCACTTGGTGACTTTCTGTAATTATGATGTAATGGTATCTTTTATATTATTTGTGACTACAACTAAGTTGTATTTATGTTTTGTGCATTTTTTGCTGTCTAGGTTGCTTCAACGTATTCAGAAAGTTTGATGATTTCATCATTGGCTGAAGATTATTATTGTATAGCAGGTTATGTTGGCTGGTGTGACTTATCTGATCCAAGTCTTCAGGATCATATTCAACAGATGAGTCATGATCCTTTACTTGTTGGTTTACGCTATGATGTTAGTGAAATGGAAGGCGATTACTTATTGGAGTCGATGGTAAGTTACTTACTAATTAATGAGAAGTTACTATGCTACTGTGTTAGAACCGCAAGTAGTCTAATTTTCTTCTGTAAATTTCCAAACAGCTAACGGGTTTTGACGTCAAATGTACGTTACATGCAAATTTCTCTATAAGTTTGCTTTAGTGAATATCACAGTTTACATAAAGGTCGGCTTTCATTGCTTGTGAGGTATGTGTAATTAGGAATGGAAGCAATGCTTTGAATGTGAAGAATTTGAAAATAAAGTGATGAAGTGAGGGATGACCAAAACTTGTAATTTTGAACATATTTCATTATATTGTCTGGGTATCGAAGGAAAATTTGGATCCTATTTGGTAACCCCCTTCACTTTTATGCAGTAGGTGACGAGCTACACTTATTGTATGGGAGTTAACGATATTATCGCATTTCCTAGGCCTGTGTATGTGGAGTGGAGTTCTCACTCGTGACAGGGTGATAGTTGAGTGCTTAGGACAATGAACCTCATTGTAGTGGAGATAATTACGAATCACCACATCACAATGAAGTCAATAGGAGGAGAAACAATGTAGTTAAGTTAACACTGTTAGTATTTGTAAAAACCCTTAAGAGGAAGCAAAATGGTGATAGAATATATATATATATATATATATATATATATATATATATATATATATGTACAATTTCCATGAAGGTTATGCAGGGATAGATCTTCAACCATATAGAGCAAAAGCTCCTGTCATGGATTCCTGTTGGTCCTCGTTACGTAAAACTACGTCTCAGTCACTTAAGTTCACGAAAGTTTACGAGCTCACTGACTGACAGATTATATACTCATTACCGAGTGCCTAGCCTTACATTGTGACTCAGCTGTATAAGAGGGATACTTTTAGGATAACGGTGACCAAGTACCTAAAGTCTTCATGAGTTCCTTAACCTTGATGATCATATTTCATAGCCGCATAGTTAGAGTACGGACATACCGTCTTCCTTAATAAACTTGAAAAAATCTCACCGACTTCCCGAATGCTGCAATTTGTCGAAATTCAATCAAGCTTTTTACATCCATGACGAGATTTTGTTAACTATCAGTTGCATAGGGATGATGTAACTCCATATGTCAGTAAAGTTCTCAGTCGATTCCTTCATCATTAGCAAACGAGACATCACTACAAACTCTTAACAGTTTACACTTAGAAAGTGAGAAACACTGGTGTAAGAGTAGAAATCGGGTACTGTAGTAGAATATAGTTCTATATTAGATAAGTTCGTTTAATACACCACGCAACAAGATTTTTGGTGAGCACTTGTTATGAGTGACATTTAAGCTCAGAAATTTACTCTACAACAAAATTTGTCGACTAAGAGATTCTATAAATTCTATTAGAAAAAATAATTTATTACATTGAATAACGTTCATTAATTTTGAACTTCAGTAAATTATTAAAACAAGTTAATCACAGTCAATCGGGTTGGGTTACCTCATCAGGTATTCTAGATGAATATATACACTTATTACTATGTGATCATTGGCACACAACAGGGTCAGATAGAGCAACTCACGATTCTGAAAATCAATATAAGCATACAATTGAAGGGTTTGATTACAATCTTTGTTCATTGAGTGAACGTTCAACTTATGCAATAAGACTATTTCAAATTCAACCCCGGATTTATGCAAAACCTTATCATCATTCTAATTTTAAAAATGAGATTGATAGACTTATAAAAACTGAGAAAATAATTTGATTATCGCTATGCAATCGTAAACACGTTTGCTTGAAGCATTATCTTAGAAAATAATAGTGTGTTATATTAAATAAAATTATGCAATATGAGAGGAGGTAGGCATCTTAAACATTTCATCAAACTGTATACTGTCATCGTTCTTTACTAAACATGTTTATGTTATCGACGTGCCTCAAGTTGATTAAAAAGTTTTTGGCGACGAATCCAATTCCTATGAAGTCAGAAGAATAATATGTGTTCTACATAGGTAGATCTGTAAACAAATTAAATGAACTTGGAAAAAATGAATATTGCTTATGTACAACTTTGAAAAAAAAAATTAATGTATCGCATTTATCTGGTATAAAGCTATAAAATTTCAGAATATTTATGTCCTCGAATGTGTTCGATTTGACGGATGTTTTTTGAGCTAACATTGTTTTGAGATAAATAATATCAGTTTAGATCAGAAATTCACCATTTTTGATTGATGTTAGTGAATAATCTTTGTTTTGGATTACTTCCTTTTTTGAAGCTAAATGGATGTACTTGTATGTTAAGCATGACAAGAGTATATGAAGGGATTATGATTCATGTGTATTTACAAATCTTTTGATTAAATTGTAAACCTATATATTAGTGTAGAGCTCAAGTTGAAGACCTAATTGAAAAGAAATATATTTCTTCGCTCAATCAGTCTTTTTCTAAATCTTTTATCGTTGGAAAGTAATAAAACTGTTATAGACAGAACTTGTATTACAACTATGTATTGCTTTCTTGTAGACTACTTCGTCTTTGAATGATTTGACTAGCCTTCATTTCAGGCTCAAAATGGCTGTAATATTAATTATATCATCAATTACAGAGTTATGGCTCATTGGTTTAATGAGCTGAAATTCAACCAGTAGATTGTAGATCCGAGAACTGCTCCACCTAATGAGGTTTAGGCAGCCAGGTGTGGCTCATTGTTTAATGCACGAATGTGCACAAGGATTTTGATTCGATATCATTAATTTCTTCTTATTTAACTAGCAGCTTATAATCTATACTATTGTAGAAATGTAGAAATACGTAGAGGATGAGTCATATATAGTTTCTTTCTATAGAATAAGTAATTAGACTTAAAAGATCTAACGCATATCTCCATTGTGTAGACAAGTATTTACTATATTTTTATTCATATTATTACTGGATTTGGTATATCCACCTACCTGGAGTCCTGAACTACTAGTATTTTATGTACTCCACTGCAAAGGAGAATTTTTTAAAGGAGTATCATGTTTCCTTTTCATGGTTTCTTGGTTTATGATTTAGTTAGTAGCAGATATTCACATGTGTTTTTAGTATTCCTTTTTGATGTCATCATTAATTTATCATCTTGTCATTTGCATTTGTGAATTCACTAAATTACTAATCGTGATAGTTTAGTTGTGTAAAGTGAATCTTTCCTGTTTGATTTTTCTATCAAATCACTAGTGGTGTATGTATCTGTACATATTCTTGCAAAGGTGTTTTGAAAATGGTAGAAGTTTGAAAACACCAACGATTCGATGCCGATCTGTCAGTTAAATCTTAACGCACTCACTGTGAAATCTGATGCTCATAGTTCCATCTTACCGAGGATAATTAGTGTGTACCGTTTGAAGACTTTGCAAAAGGGAGAAGTAACTAACCATTGCTCTTTGAGTTTATAATCGTCTTCTATTTATTATCGACCCATGATAAAAAATTCTTTACAACCGAATAATTATCCATAATATCTTGAACGGAGTAATCATTAAATAGTGTTGTGTTTTTATCGGATTTATGCTATTTTATAAAGTGATTGATGTACAAAGAAATCTTGGGTACTGTAATAAAATTTAAATTAACTTTGTTTATTAGATGTGTTTCAAAGCGAAACAGTATTATTTACTGAATAACATTTCAAACACAATTTATCATCCATGATCATGCAAAGATAACTGCACATCTTTGATACATGGCTTGTGTTTCAGATTTCCTCTCCGTTGGTATATGCGTTAAAAAAGTTTCTGTATATCTTGAACAGGTGTTAAGTCAGTCCTGTTGCACTTTATATATATATATATATATATATATATATATATATATATATATATATATATATATATACAGTTGGAAAGCTACTCAACTGTAAGAAATGTCATCATGAACTGTACAATTTGTAAATCATTTGCAAAAAGAAGTTGCTGTAGGACTACTAACATACCATACTGTTGACCTAACTAATCTAACCGACATAAACTTCAAAGTGATGAAGGGGATCTAGCTATATTGGATTGCATAATAAAAGGAAAAGATCGGAATTTAGTTATTAGTGTATATGTGAAACTTTTACATTCTAATCGCTACTTCAGATTACCTCATCGTATGTCATTTAAGATTGACTTAGTGTAATCTGTAAGCGACGTAATCCAGTAAGTTTGTATGGCTGATCATCGCAGACATGAAATCAGATATTTTAAAGATACCATACATATCAGTAGTTATCCTCCTGAACTAATGAATAAATTCTTGAGAAATTGTAAGAAAGATGGGACTAGTAATGATAACATATGTTATTGATAACCATAAAACATAACGACGACATTTTGAAGGGGGAATTCAAACAAGGATGACACTTCAAAAACGTCACATAGGATTTTAAAACGGCTGGAATTAGAGTGGCATTTAAACCTAAAAACTCATTTTGAAATCTGCTTTATGGATTGAAAGATCCTTTCAATCCAATTAGGTGAAATAATATACTTCACCGAATCTCTCGTAATGATTATCTGGTTAAATGCATAAATCAGTTTGGTCGGCCAGGGTCACCTACATAGTTTGAGCTCAAGAACTTTGCTTATTCAGGATTGGCAAACCTTAGTAAGATAAGGAGTCCAGAAAAAGGGCCTGGCTAAAGTTATGATGCAATTACTCAAAACCACACGATAGGGAGGAACAAAGTGGCAGACTCATTCGGTTGGAGGAAGGGATTGGTGACCGAATCTTGATTTATCAAATCAACACAAAATAAATGCAACGTAAATGACTCAACACTTGTTCAAGATATATAGAAAATTCTGCTACCTATGTCATAATGAGATAAGAAATTCGAACCGCACAAACCATATCTCAAAGACGTGCAGTTATTTCTGCATGATTCCAACCGATAGCTGCTACCTTGACGTGGTGGTGGGGCTTGCATATCACAATAACCCAACGAGCTATGCTGCTGAGACACGTGTTCCCTTGAGGTCCTATCATACCAGAAAGGTCTGTTGGATAATGGTTAGACGAAAGCAGTTAGCATTGTAGTGTAAATTACTGCACTATGATGGGGGTCTGAGGACGAAATCGTACTGCTGCTAGCTGGATGGGGTGTAACAACAGTAAGGTGTTTCCCTTGGATGACCAGCAGTGTCACGCTGATGCTGACTTCTCAGTGGTACAGGGGTTAGATAAGGTTGGCCCCCAAAATAACACACTCCACCATGCTCCACGGTCTGCCGGGCTGATGGTGTTGGTTCATTTGTCGTTTCTTTTCGATCGTCCGGCCTCAAAACAGCAAAAGCTCAAAACAACCGTACACAAAAGCCAGTGTGTGACAGGCTGCAAGCAGATGTCCAGCGGGCTTTGCAGTCACACAAATCTCTTTCATCAGGTACCTCAAGAAGACCTAGCCTTTCAAGGTGTGGACAACCAGGAAGTTTCAACCGTCTTCACAACTCTGTCAGCACTCAAGTTCCCTCAAACCACTATCCACCTCCCTCCCTTCTAATCTCCCTCAACGTATCTCAGTTAGTGACACTACATCATCTTTAATTACCTCTAGCTCTACAGCTCTCGACAACGACCTGAGTCCACAAAACAGCATCCTTGGTCTCCTTAAACCACTCTCCAAATTACGCATTGGAGCCTTCAATGTCCTCACCCTCCATGAAATTGGTCAACAAAGCTTCACTGGCCAAAACTCTTGCAACTCGGGCCATGGATATGTGCTGCTTGTGAGTCGTGCATGCTGGGTTCAGGTGCGGTTATTCACTTAACTTCCCCGGTCAATATGGCTAACCTGCTAAATCCACCCGTCGAGTTCTCGCATATTCGATGATCAGCTATCGCGGTCTTGCAGACTGACAAAAAGTCTATGATATGACGACAAACAGTGGTGCGCACCAAAGGCTGAGATGGAAAAGGCAGCGGTGATAGGTAACAGCAGACAATTACTTAGACTTATTAAGGAAACTGTGGTGAAAAGGTCAGCAGTTAGTGGAACTATAGCGAAGAAGGATGGGACTGAGGTTCACTCACAGAGGAGACGGTTGCAAGGACGGGCAGAACACCTTTAGGATCGGTTCAACTGGCCTCCAGCTTACTACTGAGTTGCCCTCTATCTAGTCGGATCCAGAATGGGACATTGAGATAGGTTTCCTACACTTGCAGAAGTCTAGGAAGCTGTAGGTAGCTTGAAATGAGGAAGGGCAGCTGGTGCAGGCGGACTAGTTCCTGTGATATATAAGGACGGTGGCAGAGTTTTTTTAGTGAAGTTAACTGAAGTATTAACTAGTGTATGGGAGTCAAATACGATCCCCTTTGACAGGTCTTAACCACTGATTATCCCAGTCTTGAAGAAAGGCGAGAAGTCGTTTTGCGATAACCACAGAGGAGTCAGTCTGACGAACACAGTTTCTGGGATTCTAGGTTCCATATTCATTAGACCCCTGAGTGTAGCTCGGGAACAACAAGCCCGAGAAAACTAGGTAGGCCTCAGACCTGGCTGTGAGTGTATAGACCAAATATTCACACTGCGCCAGGTTCCGGAACACAGACACACTTACCGACGCCCAACGCAATCTGTTTTTCTTTACTTGAAGGCGGCATTCGACGTCGTTGTTTGGGAAGTCTTATGGTATTGTCTCCCACTGAAAGGCGTCTTGAGTAAGTACATCACGTTATTGAAGGCTCTCTACTCGAACGCTTGTGTGTGTTAGACCCTATGGTTAGATGCCCGTGGAGCCATACTCGTCGATTGGTGTCCGTGAAGGTACCCACTGTCTCCACTCTTTTTCGATTTCATCATAGATATTCTTATGGAGGTCTCCCTCGCGTCACCTGACTACATAGAAGTTGACTTGATCGTAGGAGGATTTTCGTTAGACCTAGAATACGCAGATGACATAGTCCTGTTGGGTGAAGACGCTGACAAGATTCAGAGTCTTCTGAACACTTTGGGTGGCAATTTGAGAGTGTTTGGGATGCGTATTTTCACCACCCAACTGCAAATTGTTGCTTCAGAATAAGTCTTCAACGTTGCCTCGGCTAACAATAGAGTGTAGTGGTTGAGTTTGTCGACCACTTCACTTACTTGGAAAGTGGGATCAACCCTGGGGGCTCAGTGGCCGACGAAATTTTTGCACCAATACTAAGGGCTCGGCTGGTTTTTGCCAACTTACGCCACCTGTGGCACCACCGATATATCCGACTGTCTATAAGGGTCGCGTGTACTGCATATGCATAGCAGTCCGGTCTGTTCTACTGCATGGCTGTGAAACATGACCATTGAAGGTAGAAGACTTGAGAAGGCTTTAGGTGTTTGACCACCGTTGCCCTCGTAGTATTTCGTAGTGTCACCACATGAGTAACGCAGAAGTCAGGTGTAAAGTTTTAGGGAGAAAAGGTGAATCAGTTGATGAGGTTGTGAACCTTCATCGACTGAGATGGTTGGGACACGTGTTACGTAAACCTAGTCGCTGGTTGCCTCGTCACACAATGTTGGCCGAAGTAGGTTCAGGTTGGAAAAAGGCTAGGGACGGCCAGATTAAAGTATGGCACCAATGTATGAAGTCTTTGACTGTTGGTTTGAGCCATGTCGGGCGATGCTGACTAAGTGGTTGGAGTCCGCAGCACAAGAAGAATCAGTGGTTAGAGACTAAGTAATATGCCTGAGAACCGATATCATTAGCGCAGATGTATACATACATTATCCTCATCTTAACGAAGCTATACCGAATCTCACCATTTCTCCATTCTCCATTTTTCTCTTTTCGTACTTCATATTTCTTTTGGCTGAATTTTTTTTCCCTCATCTTTCACCTCACTGCCTTTTTACTTGATGTACTGATATGAGGTATGGCAACTGGGACCTTTACGCAGTAATGCCTGGTCTTATGTTGATGGATGATAATGATGATGATTTCTGCATGATCATGGGTGATAAGTTGTGTCTGAAACTTTATTCAATAAATACTACTGTCCCACTGTGTAACACATTCAACAAATCAACGGAAGGGTTGACAGCTATTTTCTATTGAGTTGGTAATTTATTGGTCTATTGATTTGCGTACAGCTTCTGTATAGGTTTTCTAATTTTGTCATCGGATCTGAGTATTCGGTTACTTAATTAAGACCATCATAAGAAGTTTAGTTGAAATTCTAGTTTTACTTATTTGATGAATATATAAGTCGCAAACGTATGAAGTAAGGACCATAGTGTAGCAACTAATATCCAAGGAGCACTAAACATTCAATTAGTTCGAACTGTTGCCTACGTAAATGTCGCTGCAATTATTTGACTGCAGTTAAGCTAGATGTTTTTTAAAAAATTATAATCCTCCAAGTATTGGCTTACAAAAGCTGATACAGTTTGTTGTTTGTTCAGACTTAGGGATTCATAATTGTGAACTGTATTCAGTCGATAGTATCTCTAAGTAGATAAACAATCACAAGTTTCCAGTCAAGGTCATTCGGCTTATGTAATCAGTTGAGTATGGGGAAAAGTAATTTTCTTCCATCCATCTTTTGCGCTAGTTGTCAATTCTAACTGAATTGATTTAGGCTTACTAAAAAGGCTTACACACAGAGAAATGTAACTCAGCTAGGATACAATAATGTGAAACACCTTGCTTTTATAATGTATTTGATATTCAAGCAGAAAGTATTCACTTTTATTTTGATTTACAGTGTCCAAGCAACATGTAGTAATAAGAACAATAAAGATGAAAATATTTACTCAGGATAAAAAGAAACTATAAAAACTGTCAACTATGACATTTGTCAAGTTGAGAGAAATAAGAATTTTGAAAACATTAAGCTATAAATAGTATGTCAATGTTCGTTGGAAAATACTGAATATTAGTCGCCTATTCACCCTACCAAAGTTGTTTTTTTTAATCTAATATTTGTTGTAGCATAAAAACTTCATATATCATGTATATGGGTAGTGTTATTGTGTTCATTTCGTGTTATTCAAGTTATCTTGATTTTTTAAATGACTGCTACAGTCTGTAGGTCGAATGCAAATACTCCACTTTTAACGATTTAGTTGAGTTTCTTATATGTCAGTTTGAATGTATACATTCTATTATGTCTGTTCCAACGTCTTTTTTTCCCAGATTGACAGTAATATCTCAGCAATTGAACATCAACAACTTGTATTTGATTTAGCCATTGGACCACATCAATTGAGACATGCATGTCATTTAGCCTATCGTCATCCAAAATTAAAATTAGTACTTAATCATTGTGGATTACCTGTGGAATTCACAGCAAGCCGACCAGGTATGTGAAGTTTATTGTTTTGAATAATATAATTGTTTATCTGTTCGCCGTAGTGTAATTGAGTGAATTGAGAAGCAACTGACGATAATGAATACGCGAAATTACTCAGACTGTATAAAAATAATTTCTTTTCCCTTAAATACTTTGTTTCACTTAATTGGTAAAATAGTAGAGGAAAAAGATTAGCGTGTGACTGACTACAGGGATCTTTTCATGCACTTAAAGTATAGGCTGCGAAAAGTGCTGGACAGCTTTCGGTGACCTAGAATGTTGATTTCTGTACTCTTCAGTTTCTATCATATTCTCACTAAAATACAAAAAGAACTATATTTCCTACGTAAAAAGTCACCGTGATCAATATCTTCAACTCTTTTCAATATTCACTTTTATTTTTGGTATCACCTAGATTCAGGAGTTACTGAGTGCTTCTATACGATATTATTAGTAGTTGATACATGGATTAAAATCCCTTTGTCAAAAAATTAACAAAAGACAATTCAGTGACGAATCATTTTTAAAAGCTGTACATCATAATCATAATTACAACAAAATATATATCCATCAATGGCTAATAGGTCAGTATAGTCACCAAAAGTGGTCAACAAAGTCACAAGGTGATAATATCTAAAAGGTTAACTCAGGGTCAACGAAAATTGCTACAAAAGATAAACAAACGGTCAAAAAAAAAATGAATAAACTATCTTCGGAAGATTACGACCACGGCAAAATTAGAGGTTGGATGTATGTATCTTTTTTGAACGCAAAGATCAGGCTTGTACAGCTGGATCGCCAAGATCTCTGCTGTGTTGAGGTGGTGGATACGTATCCCCTTCTAAATGTTTGATTTCACCTTATAAATGACTACGAAAGAAGACTTGTAGAAGAAGGTGACCAGAGTTAACCAAATACTCAGGAATCGAACCGTTATTGGCTTCGAACACTGTTACACTTTTTTGAGGTCTAGGCAATCAGCTGGTATCACTAGCCTCTACATAGAAGTATGGGTCACTGCCTGATACACGAAGTTGCACAAAGTCGGTTTGAGTGACAAAATTATAAAATTGACACCTCAAAAATATCACCTAGTTGTCATGTGTGTGTGTGTGTGTGTGTGTGTGTGTGTGTGGTCTAGCTTTATTTAGTATGCCACACACAAATAGAGCGTAGAGTTCTCGACAAATCAAAACATTCACTTCTTGTATGAACATTAACATGGATAAGCTAGTAAATGTAAAACTATACCTTTAAAGCTTATATTTATGTGCGATTGATCCTTTCATTAGTTCCATTACCACTTCATTAGGACATGATGTTCAGATAAATAAACCAATTTTCGTTTTGCGCAACGATAGTGACTAATTGTTTCTAAAATCTTTCTGTTATTCTTAATTATCTAACTCTGGATGACTCTTATCATACCATGTAGTGAATCCAGCTTTGGAAACCTAACCAATCTTAGTTTAGTTAGTTAGTTTGAGGATTGTAACCCGTAATAAACAAATAAAATCTAGGGGTAAGAATGAAACGGATGAAAAAAGCACACCAACTAATATGACTGTAATGTGTCATGATTAATAGATTATCTTCATTGTCACTAATCGCTATCGTTAGAAATAAAACTGGGATATGAACAGCAGAGATTTGTTCATGGCTTTAGTGAATATTTGGGGTACTTTTCACCTGGTCTGCATACCATCAGTCATTAGGATTACTTCATTTTCTTCTGCCAGTACTTGACTCCTAACCAAGCATTTATTGAAAGCTCAGTAAATCCTGTGTCATATAGGACAAGTCACTTAAAAAGTGTCTAGCCCACTAAACTACAAGTCGTTTTAAGAAACTGGACTCCATGAAGTTTAGAAAATGACTTTGTTTAGCATCAAAAGATTTTGATGGAAAACGTTAAAAATTCACCTTTACAGACATCTCTTTGTTTGTCTACTACTTTCACTGGTGTTAGATGGTTATCATCCTTTTTTACTGAATATTTAGGGATTATCTTAAATGTGTTAATTTGTTTTTGTTTTGAGGATAGGGGATAACTTGGCATGGAAAAATTGGCGCTCTGACCTGGAATTACTTAGTCGTTATCCAAACGTATATTGTAAAGTGACCGGTGCTACTGGTCGTATACAAAAACCTTCGAAATCATATGATGAATCATCCGATGTGTACAGCACTGACCAGTGGTGTGCTAGTTCAGCTTTATCTCATGCAATTAGCTGTTTTGGACCAGATCGTTGCCTGTTTGGGTCAGGTTGGCCAGTTTGTCGATTGTTCAAACCAGATGAAACCGGTTGGCCTGAACAGGCGTCAGCTTCTGATCTACAGACGTATGATATACCTGGAGAATTAGCTGCCAAGCGTTCAAGAGGATCAGTCCCACTAAAAGTTCTTAACTTATGGGAAGCTGCCAGATTGGTGGAATATGCGATGGGTGAGGCTGGTTATGGATCGGTTGAAGATAAAGAAAAAATATTTTCTACGAACGCACAAAATGTCTATAGTTTGTGTATTCGACCATATGGCTCATGCCCACGGTATAAAGCTAAAGAGTGAAAACAGATTTTATTCAGTAATCCTACCAGAATTGAATTGTATTATAGTTTGGTTCAGGTGAAAAATGTGTATTTATTACAGTTTATTTATTATTAGATTCATCCTCACGAAATTGATCTTTTCAGCATGGACGATCTTTCAGTAATTGTCCCTACATTCAACATGTACATATTTTCCTCGTGTGTTAAACAAAATTGCATTCGTATCTATATTTTTATCTAGCTAGCGGTGCTGAAATGTTTATTCACTTAAATCTATGATCATTTCCAATGTTTTCTCTTTTGAAATAAAGTAAAAGGAATGATAGAGCATGACTAGGTTTTCCTATAGTTTGATATGAATATGACCAATTTTCGTTAATGCAGTCGTGTTTACAGTGTTCATGAGAGAATAATTGTTCATTTGAGGGGTAAGACAAAGTGAATATAGTGATGTGATACAGATTCGATAGCACGGTGCGATTTAATATTAAGGAATTGCAGAGTGACACAAAAGCCTGTCAACTGGGACTTTAATCTGATTTCCAATCTATCTTTTAGTACATAAGAACAGGACGAAGCTGCAAAAAGCTGAATGGGCTAATTGTCATTCCGAACTAATTATGATCAACGCGAAAATTCATGTGTATATGTAGGTTTTCAGTGGATGATATCGCAAAACGGCCACTTATGGAAGCAGTTTGTACATCCTGATTCTGAAATTAGCCGATATGATTGAAAATAATTCCATATCTTAGACTGCCAGATAGAATTTTCCATGAATGATGACATTTCAAAATGCGCAATTAGTTCACTGGTTGTTCAGAGTCTTAGTGACTCCGCTTTTAGTCATTTTGTCCCACGTTCTTAATGAGTGTATTGCTCACGATGTATTTATTTCAGTGGTTTCGCTCTGTTTGAGGTTCGGCCAACCATTTGAGGTTGTACTGGTTGGCTTGATAATATCAGTTACATTATATGGTTGGAAGGAGAGCGAGAGAGTTGCGTACGGACACGTTCATCTGGTTTATCTTAATGGATAAATCAAGTGAAACTAACTTACTTTTTCCACCATAGTTCAGGTTACTTTTTAAACTCATATTTCTCTCATTTGATGCAGATGGAACTTCCTTGAAGCAGCGCATATGGAGAAAACCGTGATTGGTATGTGATGCGAAATTCACACTTCGAGTTTCTACAAATTCTGTGACTAGTTATCGCGATTTTAAAGGTGTAAGTATGGAATTATATCTGAAGACAGAAAGTCCACTACTTGACTGGATCACATATGACAGTTGTCTGTGTGCTATTCAGCTGAAGGGTGCAGTGAGGACTAAAATAATCAGTGAGACTTTTCATTATCTCTTTATTATCTCGCTTACGCATCCACCGACTGAAGTGAAGGATAAGTCTTTTCTCAAAGTAACACCATAGTGAAAACCACAGGCTTATATCTGGTGATTTCAATGCACAAGTGGGTAGGCTAAGTCGGAAAGGCACTTTGGTGACACTTTTGGAGTCGCAGTCGAGCAAACAGATAACGGCGATTACCTGCTACACCTGTACTCAGATAACCACCTATTTCTGGCTGGCACGAATTTTAAACATAAAGAGAGACATTGTTTGACGTGGCGTCCACCGACCTCAACCCAGCAGTGGACACACACAAACCATATTTCTACTGGTTATCGCAAGAGGGTTGGTGGGAGGTTGGCTCTTTTTCTGGTGTTAGTGTCTAGAGAGTTATCATACATTGGTTCGAGCCTTCCTAAAAATAAGTAGAGAAACTGCAACAAAAAATATTCCAAATGCAGCTCTGCGATGAGAATAATAAGGCTGTACTCAACAAGAAACTCGGTAGACAGTTTTCAGAACACGGCGGCGTCACTTTTTCTAAAGAAGGCTGGTGCCACTGGTCGGTGAGAGTATAGTGGAGAATGATGGGTCTGCTAATGTTCCCATTGTCTGCTCACTATTCGGATCCTGAGTGGAACAGACACCACAACTCTTGCAGAGGTTGAGAAGGCTCTTAGCAACCTGAAAGGAAGAAATTCAGAAGACAGACGGTCTAATACCGGAGTTATTTAGGGACAATCGTCTATTGGTCTAGTTTACTGACGTGTTAGCGAGCATATAGGTATAAGATATGATCTCTGGCTGCTTTCCACTTCTGGTCGTCTCAGTCTTCAAGAAAAGAAGAAAATCCTCCCATGGTGACCACCGGGGAACCAGCCTAAAATCCTAGGTTCTGTAATCATAATTCCCATAGGTGCGACTAGTGAACAGATAACCAGACAGGTTTTCAGACCTGGCCCTGGGTGTGTCTACCAGATATTCCCTCTCCATCCGTGTAGGGCTGTGACTCACGGGTTTAGGGAGATGACTATCAACCAGTGAGTCACGGCTTTGAGCCCCACTCCACCTACCTAGGTTTGGGTAGCCTGTAAGTATCACTAGCCCTCACACGATAGGTGTGGCTCACTGCACGGATGTGCACAAGGTGACTGAGTTCGTTTCGTTCGTTAATTTCTAGAACACAGACAAGCAGTGATATCTGAAACTTGTAGTATTTTTTGATATGGAGACGGCATTCGAAACTATCGGTCGAGAAGTGTTATTGAAGTGGCTGATTGAAAAGGGTGCCAAGTAAGTATTTTACCCTGTCGGAAACTGTATTCGAACACCGGTGTGCGTGTTAGAGCGTATGATGAATTGTGTTCGTCGATTGGTATCTGTCAAGAATATTCACTCCCTCCTCCATATTTAATTTTGTCATAGACTCACTTATGTGGGTCTCCCCCTCGTCATCTAACCTTACAGTCATTGACCTTCACACAGGAGACTCCTTCATGAACTTTGGGTATGCGGATGATATAACCCTGTTACATGAGGATGAAAAGATACAGAGCCTGTTGGACACATTGGTTGGCGATTTGAAAATGTTTGAAATTCGTTTCTTTCCACCCAAATGCAAACTATTGCTCTAAGACTGGTCTGTGTTGGTGCCGTGTCTAACTATAGGGAGTGAAATGGTCGAGCAGGTTGATGAGTTTACTTACTTGCGAATTCAGGTCATCCACGATGGGACAGTGATTGACGAAATCTGCGTTGATTAAAAATCCCTCCCTTGGTTTTCCCCAACCTACGTCATTTACATCATCATCGTGACATCCGACTATCAATAAGGGTTTAGTGTATTGCGCTGCAGTTCGCCTTTTTCTACTGTATGTTAGTGAAACATGGAGGCTTTAGGTCTTCGGTCTTCGTTGCGTGGGCTGTGTCGTGGTATCATCATGTGAGGAACATAGAAGTCAGTCGTACAGTTTTAGGAAGATGAAGGAAGTCAGTTGAAGAGGTCGTAAACCTTCAAGGACTCAGACTGCTGGGACATGTATTGGGCGTTCCTATTCACCCCGTGCTCCATCACAGTGCTATCTGAATTAGGTTCAAGCTGGAAAAGGGTTAGAGGTGACTAGGCGAAAACATGGCATTCGTCTCTGAAGTCTTTGACTGTTGGTCTTAGATGTGTAGGAAAATGTAAACTTCCTGGTAGGGGTCCATGTGAAAACGGAAATCGATGGTTATGTGCTAGTTGATATGACTTAGAATAGGTCTTAATGGGGAAAACATGTCTTGGTTGTATTGTGTTCTCTGAGCTGGGAAAACATGTCCCCAAGTAATCTGTATCTTAATCGTCATAGTGAATTTCGCTATCATCTCATCCCTATCTGGTCTCTTTTGATGATTTTCTACCACTTTTGATTACCTTCTTCCTTATCTTTCATCTTAGTGCATCTTCACTTGTAACCTAGTAGTCAACTGTAGTTTGTGCAACAACGATTTTTTTTCAACTAAACATTTCAATGTCGACTTTCATTTTTTGAGTTCAGGCTTGTCTAGGTTATCTCAACTGTGGAGAATATTTGTAGCTCAGGTGGATGGTCTTGGTTGTATTGTGTTCTCGGAGCTGGGCCGTTTAATCATGAAGCTTTCATCGTCCTTCTAGACGACATTATCAGCGCTAACTTCAGTATGAAGTGAGCTGTCAATATCTCTCTGTGAGTGATTTAGTAGCTTGCCTTGACGAAGTGGTCTGTGATTGGTTATTTCCTTTGATTGTTGTGTCATTGACTGTATAGATTTTCCTGTTGGCTGTCCCTGTGCTTCAACTCTGACCTTTCTGTCGTTTATCATCTTTCTTATCGGTTGATAGATTGGGTGTGTGTCCACACATCTATTGATTACTGATTGACTGAACTGAATGTCAAACTTCTAGGAATTTTCTGATATTTTTTGTGTTTCTTCTGTCCAAAATTTCTACATTGTCGAAATTGAATTCATGTCCATAGTTATCCACATGCATTGAAATGAGTGAAGAAATGTCGTGACATTTAATAGCCAATTGGTGTTCATGTAGACGAAGGCGAAGAGGGCGACCACTTTGTCCAATGTAGTGTTGACTAAAGTTATTGCAGTTGATTTTGTGAATGATATTCGGTTTGTCTTCTTTGCTTGTTGCATATTTTGGTCTGCATAACAGTGTTTGCAGGGAATTTGCTGGTGTATGGGTGGCCACACCAATTCCAAGTGGTTTCAGTAATCTTGTCATGATTTCTGATATTTTTTATGTGTGGTAGGATGATACGTTTATTGATTTCTGTCGATGACTTTGTAGTTAATGATGTACGGGATAGGCATCTTCTGATAAAGTTTCGTGGGTAGTCGTTCTTCTTTAGGATGGATATCAAGTAATTTTCTTCTTTTCTCCGTGAAGTTGTTGTGCTTCAGTGTGTTCTCGCTCTTCTAAATAGAGTCTGCACGCAACTGATATTGTGCTTTGTTGGGTTATTGCTACTGTAGCTGAGGACTTGGTCAGTGTGTGTTGGCTTCCTGTACACTTGGGTTTCCAGCTTTCCGGCATTTGCTCTATTGACTAGAACACCCAGGAATGGTAGTTGGTTGTTTGACTCCTTCTCCATAGTGAATTTGATGTCACTGAAAACGTTGTTGATCAAATTGTGG